TATATTATATGCACTTGATATCTCTGCCAGTAGATGTATGAAATTACTAAATATTATGATAATAAATATCTTTACCACTTGTCAGTTCCTTAATTCTTTTTAACTATTAAGAATGACTTTCATTAACTTACTGTGAATTTTTGTGATATTTAATTCTATCAAAACTGATCTTTCTGATGTTATAAAATAATACTATTATTATACTATTTTAATAAATTACTCAGAGGTTTGCTAATTTTATATTTATAGTTGTTTTATGAATTGATCTTCTAGGAATGATGTGCTCCCTGGCATGTTGCTACATGAAATGTGTTTGGAAAATTACTTTCGCGAAATAAAGCCACAAAGTGACGATGATTGCGAAGAGGAAGAATGTAGGAATAATGAGAGGTAGTAAATAACATCTTTTAATTTCATTATCTTTTCTGTTTATGAGTAAACTCATTCTCCTTGACCGCCAAAAAAATGACTACTTCTTTATTTCAAAAGTGGTCTCAAAGCTTTACTAACCGATATGTATATTTGTTCTATGAATAGATTTCCAGGCTGCCAGTCATTCAATGACACTTTGCAACATGAACATGGAAGTTACGTTCGCAATGAAAGACGAGGAAATGATGTTGATGAGGAGGAGGAACGAATTTGGAAGGAGAGGTAGTAAATGTTACACTAAATCTTCCAAATTTTGTACCTTTTCTTTACATGTCTAGGCTGAATATCTGTGCCAGCTGAGAAAACTACTAATATATTTGGTTAATATAAAGTAAAAACCATATAAAAAAATATAGGCTAAAACGCATGAATGAGAAAGTTAGTCAATTAAATCATAATGTTAACAACTCAACAAACAAATCTAAAACATTGTGGAATATAATCAACATTGGGAAAACTCGGTCACAAAAGCATAAACCTACCAGATGAAGGCATGTTCCTTGATAATCCATCTGATATTTGTAGGACCTTTAACTGTCATTTCTTAAATTCAAAGCATGACACTGTAACCAGTAATACTAATAATTCTTTATCTTCTGGAACTTTATCTTCTGGATTTCTCTGTAATTTCTTATGCAGATGATATAACATTAATAAGCAGTGGGCAAAATCATGGTCATCTACAAAGTAATCTGACTGAATCGTTAAAATCAATTTAAAGTTGTTTGTCTATAAATGAATTGAAATTAAATGTTGATAAAACTGTATTAATCTATTTAAAATTTCATCATGATCAGCAAAATTATTTAAGGTCAGCAAAACTATTTATGAACATGATGTAAGAGATAGTGACTGTATTGATAACGGCTTGTTTTATTTCTACACTTGTTCTGTACACCTTCAATCTTGATCTCTTGACCAGCAGAGATCCCTACTCTTCTTGTTTGATTAGAGGATTCAATATTCTACTAACATACATGAATATTTCTTTCAGGAATAAATCTTCACCGGGGCGCAAAACACGGTATGATATCTTGCCCCACGAAAAAAGGCAGAGAGGTTTTCATAAAGGAATCCAAGAAAGTAATAATAAGAATAATGAGAATGTGGTAAGGAACTTATTCAAATTCTTTTATTGTTTATAGATATCACAGTTACAGATATTTTGCAGAAAGAAAGTTGATCTTGTATTGCCTGCCAGGTGCAAATGATATGTAATTCTCAATATTTAGAGGGGAATATTTCGGAAATTCCCTTCTCTAAAATGTAATGTAAGTTTCAAAAAGTATCCAATTTCCTAGGTATTCAAAAAGACAAGCACATTATCAATTTGCCAGTCATAATTATATTGGTACAATTTAATTGAGTTACATAAACATTAAATTGACCTCAAATACATTTTTAATCCAGTAAATGTATTCATGACTTTATAGGTCAGGTTGAATTTTGTTTACTTGTGCACAGTCAGGAAGAGCAATTTTATATTCTTGTTTTTGTGACCCTGGACTTCAGTATTCCCATCATAAGGATTTCTGTCCTTTTCTCATATTAGATTCTTCATCAATGAAGAATTAAATTCATTTAATAAAGAATGGTGCACCCGCGATGTGAGGAGAAACAGCATAGTATAAATTTTGTACTAGTACTGTTTCTCTTTGCAACATAGGTTGGCTACATGATGGACTATCAAGGTTTTGAACCACAATAGATATCTCTTTGTATACAATAATAACCCCAGTATCTATGTGTAATGAGCATGTCTTAACTTTATTCACATTAAGGTTCTCTTGTATTAAGAAATTGTTTACCATATCAGGTTTATTAAATTACTTTTTAGTGTAGACTAAAAATGCTCAAAATTCCTTTATTATGTTATATATTATAAGATATAATCTAATATGTATTTTACCTGAACTGAGCACTTTTGTAATTTATTGATAATATAGTTTTCAGAAGTATCTTGTTTTGCTTCACACAGCCGCTAATACTCATTTTTTTTCTTCTTCTAATACTTTTCCATTAGCAAAAACAGTAGGTGTTGATGTTCCTTTACAAATGTTCTAAATGTCACATCATGTGTGGTGTAATTACATTTACTTCCAAGTTTTTGTAGTAATTGTATGAGAAAGAGTAGTATTAAGTGGTTCATTAACACAATATTGTATTTTTCTGACCTTGTAGCCTACATTGTTGCCCTGTTGATGGAAATATACATTGACAAGCAACCAAATAGTCTTCTTATTTCTACTGGCCATGCTCCAAGAGCCAGCCTTGATTATATTTATGGTCATAAGGATTCTCAAAATTTTCCATTTGTTCTGAATATTCATTAAAACAGTTTAATTTTTTACACAACATGCCTTAATTAAATTGTGACAAAATGATGTGTGTACAAATGCTCATGGACAGCTTCTAAAATAATAACCATATTCAAGTTTTTTGATAGACTTCTTTAGATACTTCAAATATAGAAGTAAAATATAAATGTTGTTGAAATTTTTTATTGATTTTCAAGTAACAGTAATCAGTAAGTTTTCAATTTTCTTTCATGTAAAAAGACGAGGGTTGTTTATTACTGTGCACAGATCTCATTAAAGAAGTGGCAGTTTTTTAAACTTATAATTACATAAAACAAACCTACAATCCTGTTTGAATCAGACATTTGTACTTCAGACCTTGTAATAAACAGATATCATTATACTTTTTCACTAAATATTGACTTAAATTTATTGGTTTTTCAGTTTATAATAATTTTCATTTAAAATAAATTAACATTACTGAAAATTCTGGATTACATAAATGAAATGGTGAAATGTGGTATTTTAATATTATTAATTTAATACCTGTTATGGAATAAATAAAAAATATAAGAGTTGTGATATAGTTGTGTTAAAATTCAGCATGCATAATCTGATTAAATTAAGTGTGCAATAATTGACACTTCAAGAAAGCTTCATTTTTATGAAAATCAGCAATCCTTATGCTCCAATGGGCATGAAATTATCATTAATAATTATTAACCCATTACATTGAATTTGTATTGTGTGTATAATTGATGCGTGAAATTAAATAATAAAAAATAATGTAACTTTTCTAGGGAGGAAGGCCACTGTCTATTTTATCACCTGGACCAAGAAGAACCATGTCACTTTTTGACCTAAGATCGCACAAGAAGAAAATCATTGAGTGCCCTTCTGATTTTGGAAGGAGTATGTCTACTATGTGTTTGCCTTCTCAGTCTCAACAGTCATGCAAGGCAAGGTCCCCATGTTCAGAGGAGCACTCACCAGAACCTTGTGCAGGACCTTCTAGAGAATCTCCTAGGCCAGGTCCTAGCTCATTTCTTGCAGGACCGTCTAAAGAATTTTCGAGGCCAGGTCCTAGCTCATTTCTTGCAGGACCGTCTAAAGAATCTTCTAGGCCAGGTGCTAGCTCGTTTCTCGCAGAACTCTTTAAAGAATCTTCGAGGCCAGGTCCTAGCTCATTTCTTGCAGGACTGGCTAAAGAATCTTTGAGGCCAGGTCCTAGCTTATTTCTTGCAGGACCGTCTATAGAATCTCCTAGGCCAGGTCCTAGCTCATTTCTTGCAGGACCGTCTAAAGAATCTCCTAGGCCAGGTCCTAGCTCGCCTCATGCTGGAACATCTAGAGAATCTCCTATGTCAGGTCCTATCTCGCCTAGAGCTGGACCTTCTAGAGAATCTCCTGGGCCAAGGCCAGCCTCGCCTCCACTTATCCATCGCTCACAGTTCTTGGAATATTTGAAACAAGAATTAATAAAACAGTAAGTTGTTCTTGATGCTATAGATATTCAATATTTAAAAACCTGACATTTGGGAATTGGGAAGTCAAAATAAGGTTTCAATAAATTGCACCTCTTGTGGAAGACAGGCCCTATTCAAAAAATGTTTTTTTTTTTTTTTTTGATATTTGGTGAGTATAAATGCCTGGAATTAAGTCTATGTTCTGGAGATATGTCACAGTTGAAATTGCAAAAATAGTGATTTGACTTGGATATCATTTTGCATTACTGCGAAGTTAAAAGTTACTTGCTTTTTTAAATTATTCTAATTTTTTCTTGGACTCAAAGTTATTAAATACTTCTACTTCAAAACTGCTTATTTTGACTTGTAGCAGTCTTTCACCAAGTGTGCTAAGTAATGGTAATTTGGAAAGGTATATTTTGAGTTTTGTTTTCATGTACATATTTAAAAACTGTTTTCAAGGAAAACATTCATGAGCTTTGCATTTTACAACACTATTAAAATTTAAATATTTTTTGATATATACAATCGCATTATTAACGCTGAAATTCACCAAGTCATTTGCTCTAATATTGTATTTTTATTAATACATTTAAGAGTACATGGATTTCATGAAAGTGCACATTCAATTTACACTCGGTCAAAATTGGTATAGTAAAGGTCGAGTTTTTTGATCATCATAAAGTTCACTTGTAATATTGAGAAAGCCTGTAAAACATTTTACCTTTAAAAATGGCTCTAAAACTGGTGAGTTACACTTAGCTATTTTGAAAACTAAAACCAGTAAATGGGGATGGGATATTTATGGTTTTGAAGTTTAGCCCATAAAGTAATTTTTTTTTTTTTTACATTTTTCTTAAAGTTTGCAGCTATTTTATGATTCAAATCTATACTGATTAATTAGTTCATTTTGGGAATTGCATCAAACATTGATATATTTCAAGTGCAAAGTTGTTTATTCATTTAGTAGTATTAGTTTCTTAGTGTTCCTAGTATTAATTCCATTATAATCCTTCATTGTCTTCAGTATAAGGTACCAGAAAAAATTGTTGACATCTAATTCTTAGATTATGAATGAAACTAATTTTGCATTTTCAGTTGTTTTCTTATGACTTATAACAAGTTTTGAAACTCGGTTCTTTAAATGTTAATTTGTCTGATTAATGTTGTTGAAACCTTTTATCTTGTACTGTTCCTAGAAAACTAGCATTAAAAGGGCCTGTTCTTAAAAGCTCAGCATATTTTGGCCAAGGACCTCCAAATCACCTTCCATTAAACCAATGGTTACTGGATCAGGGACCTCTTAAGAGGTCTCTAAATAAGGAACCATCAAACCAAGCATCTCCAAACAAGGAGCCTGTAAACCAGAGTTCTCCATCCAGAAGGCCTTCACAAGCTCATAAACCTGATGAAGAGAATCGCAAGCCAGATCTTCGAAACTTCACATTTGGACTTCGGTACATTTTTTTAAACTATTTATGTATGGCACAAGCAGCCAGCTTATACGCTCATCACACCTTTCATTTCGTGGTTATCATGTAACTGAAAGTAATAAAATCATCAGTTCAATTGGGCAAAATGCAATTATGATATTTGATGTGAATGTGTGTAAACTTTTTTAAAAGAAAGTGAACCTTTTATAATTTTCTTAATTTACATATTACGAACAATATTTTTATGAAATTATTGAAAATAAAGAAAAAATGTATGTATTTTTAATTAGTCTATTTGTCCAACATTCAAAACTAAATTACAAACGGGAAATTACAAATAAATCAGAAAAAAGCTAAACTATAGAACAATGTATAAATCGAGAAAAGGCTCTAAACATAACATAACAGCCATTTTTCAGTTTTTGTATTTTTTTTTTTTTAAGAAGGCTTATTTATTTTTACATAAATGTTAATATTATATTTATCCATAAGTTGACATATCCTGTTGTTTGGATCATTTCCATGTACATTTGGTACATAAGATTTGAATGAAAAGTTGCAGGTCTTTTTGAGTGATATAAAACTCTAAAATTCAATTTCTTAGTGATGGACAGTCACATACTACATATAGATTGGTTCACAAAAAATATATAAAGGGCATTGATTTTGTTGACTTAAATTTTGTTCCATAACCAGAAAAAATACAATATAATAACCTAAATAGTTATTATCCTGAATATTACCTTCAAACTTAACTAGTATCAGCAATCAAATTGATTTGATACCCTATTCTCTTCCTACTACACGAAAACAATATACCATCAACCATTTGAAATGGAAGAACAGTTCTCTTCTCTTTGCAGATGATACGAATATTCTTTGCAATAAAGAAACCGTAAATAGTACAATATCAGATACTTCAAATTGGTCTGTAAAAACAAATTAATGGTATATTAACTGAAACTAAAATGGTTTCAATGCAGTTTTACATTTCAAATAAACATCTCTGCACTCCATTGAAAATTAACTGTGTGCCATTGACTGGTGTTAAGGAAACGCTTTTTAGGTCCTTCAGTCAAACCGAAAATAGAATATCCATATAAATGAATTAAACAATAAATTAAGTTCCTTATGCTACACTTTCGGAATTCTTTCAAATTCAATCAGCCTCCGTATTGCTGGGGCTGCTAATATTCTGGGGAAAGATGTCTTATAGCTCCCAGACTTTTATATTACAAAAAAGAATTGTAAGAATAAGCAAATCCCACCCACATGATTTTTGTAAGACTTTCCATATTAATCTAGGTATTTTACCGTTACCTTGTCTCTTGATATATGAATTTGTGTTTGTTTGTTTTTTTTGTCAAAAAATGACTTGCTTAAGGGTGGGAATATATTTTCAGCTAATGTTGATGTCTTATAACCACCACACTCGATGTAGTAATCATATTCATTAGGTGACAGTATCAAGAGCTCACTACAAACTATTCACATACAATACATGTACATTATTTTACAGCACCTTGTCAGATGACATTAAACGATTAAATTCGATTCAAAGGCTTAAGCCCCGAGTAAAATATTTTCTGCTGCACAACTATTTATATACAATTGATAATGTTTATTACAATTAAAATCCTCTAATTTTATTATTATTATTTTTTATTATTGTTATTGTTATTTATTATTATTTATTGTTATTATTTATTATTATTGTTATTAGTGTTATTATTTTTTATTATTATTATTATTAGTGTTATTTATGTATCAATTTGAATTAAACAATCATTTTCAATGCCTTGAACATAATTTTATGATGGCCAGAAATCCTTACATGTCCTCTTGGACATTATACTTTAGCTTGTTTACATGTAATGCTCCCAGCTCTGTGATGACAAATGAACGTCCAGAAGATGAAATAAGAAATTTAGTAATGAAGTAAGTGACTTAGTCAGCCTTACTGGTTTGTAAATTCTTACCATTGAAGAGGCAAATTAAATTTTCTTGAAATTCTTGTAACAACACACCTGCTGGAGGTAACACATTGGCCCCCTCAAAATTCCCAAAATGATCTCTTCAACTAGTCAAATAAAGTGACTTTGCATTCAAATGAAATTCTATGTGCTCTGAAAAGTTGAAAATCCTTGACTTTTGGACTGAAAAATATTTAAAACTCCATGCAAATGGTAATTATCTTTAACCCTTTGTTGGCCGCACTCAAAATTAGAATGGGAATAGTTATGCATATTACAATTGTCGGCCATTTTTAAAACTCTTATTAACAATATTTTACAAACAAATCCTCTTTTAGTTCAAATTTAGAAGAGTAACTGTATCTTAAACACCAACCAGTTAAAAAATACTATTAAATTTATTAGAACATGGGTATATATTAAATATTATGTGAAATGCTACACAGATTTATATTTTTTTTTGCCTTTACATAAATATACTTGACTAAATACGAATAGAAATTTGTTTTTGAAGTCTTGTACTTTATATGTTTTGTGCACTTGATATATTTTGATTTATCATAATTAAAGTGGTGCGACAAAATGGTGTAAACATTTGGATTCAATATTCTGAGTGTGCTTCAACATCAACATCAGATGAATATCTCTCACATTTTTTTAATGTGTTCTGGGCACACTCTCTAGACACAATTTACCCAGTACTGTTCAGTGCTCTTGTTTTGTTGACATTCACTGAGATAACATCATGTTGCCCTTTGGCGACTCCACTGACCCCTCGCTCCCTTCTTGGATCTCGAAAAGAAGTCTCCAGGGTTCTTATTGCTATCAGCACAGTTTTTCTTTCTGTCATTCTTTTTCATTTGTGGTTTCATAAGGGACAAAGGGAGATTCTTTAGAAATCCCCTCCTAGTCAACCTTTCTTCACTGTTGTTCTTTGCATTCTTAATATTGATTGCAGCGATATTCTGGTTGTCAGAAACTGAACTGCAAGTGGTTGCGCGGACTACTATTGTAATCCAAGTTGTTTTCAGTGTTTATCGCTAGTGCAGAAGTTATCTTTTGAGTCATATTTTGCTACAATTCAATAGCTGGGGCTATTAACAAAAGGTACTAAGATATTAATGGCAAAAGTTTGTCAACTGCCGCTGTAAATAATGAATGAATAATACTAGATTACAATAGTATCCATCTGACCACTGGCAGATAAGGCTATGTAGTTCTAAAATCTTGTATTGAATAATAGAAATGGTAACGTATACAAGAAATCTATGAAAAATTATAAGAAGACAATCGAACTAAATGTACTACATAACATGTTCTCTTTTTCGAATACACTTTATAATGGAAGTCGAATTAATTTTCATGTTCTGTGTACGTGTGTTTATTTTTGAATACCTTCTTGTGTATGCAGGGCTAACAGTAGTGGGACTTTCTGGATACAAAAAATGTAGCTGTTTAGGTAGTACATTTTGAAACAAGTATTTTCTGATATGCTTCTTCAGTTTGAAATTCTAAATTATTCCCTTTGAGCCCTTCCATGAACAAGAAGGAATTTTAATACTAAACTTACATTGCACAGCTGCTGTTGTACTAATTGTATTCATTACATATTGCGAGATTTTTTTGGCTATAGGAAGAACATTCACAAATAAATGCACATAGCCATTCACCCACCTATCTCATCCACCAGTCTCTTGCAATATTTGTTATATATCATTACAACTTGAATATTATAAATTTTCTCCTTGCCATTATTAACTATGTATTGTTTTTCTTTTTAAAAAATACATAGTTTTTGATGCAGCATATGCTCTTGCACGTCAAGAAACACAAGTGTAAACAATTTTTACACACAGCGACAATTCATGGCAATCGTTTTCTTTTGTAGTAAAATCGTATTTTCTGTAATAAAGTCTTAATTATATTACGTTAAAATGGTAAATAGAGAAGAATGTAGTTCAATTGAACATTTTAATTTATTTATGCTACAAATCACTTTCATTTTACTTTCCCATTTTAAAATATATAATTACATAAAAAAGCATTTTTAGTATTGAATCATTCAATTTATATCCATGACTTACAAACACTTTCTTCGTTTGAAAGAAAAAAACAAAATAATGGAAAATTTTCAGAGGAAGGAGGCAGTTTTATGAAAGAGGAGGTAGATTTTAGAGGAAATTTAAAGAAAATGTGAGTGAAATTGTCTTCGGTAGATATTAATGCACTTAAGGTTTATGTAAATAAAGATGTCTTTCCATTGTAATTATTAACCTTCCATTTAACTAAATTTAAGAAAATGAAAACAAAAACAAGGAAAGAATTCACCATTCAATGATATTTGTGCCACTGGGCAAAAATTTTGTACAACACAGAATTCAAAAAGAAAATAAATATTCAATTATAATAAGTAGTAAAGAATATCATAATTCAAATCTCGGATGTTTGATACAACAAATATGGCAAACGTATTTTGGTATGAAGTCGCTATTCCCCACCTCTTGCTGCTTCAGTTTGTATGTGTACACCTCTTTCTGGATTTGGAGGAGTCTAGGGAAGTTGCTCATGCTCCCAGAAGCACCAGGATTTCCAGGTGGATAAGTACCTCTTCTGGGCCTGGTATTACGTGCCTGACCTACATTATCATCTGTAATTTTTCCTAAATAATCAGTATTGCTTTTCTGCTTTAAAACAGGACAAACACGGTCATGAACTACAAAATTATTGCATCATGTTTCATCCCAATTTTATCAGTACACTTAATATTGTGCCAGTTCATAACATCAGAATAACTGTCTTTGTATCATGTACGTACAAATATTCTTTACAGGTACAAGATGATGTCTAGTTCACAAAAAGATAAGTTTCTACATTTTCAATTATGTTAAAAATGGAAAAAATTAGAGAAAAATACTCAGAATGTTATTAAAAATCAACATTTCTGTCGTTTTTGTAAAATTTGACCAGTTATAAACACAAAAAAACAAAATCTAACAACAAAATGCTACTTTTGTGTGCCTAAATATAAAATTGCCTGCAAAGAACAAGTAACTTATAAACATGGCTATATATCAGTACACAAGTGCTATCTAGCTGCATTTGACAATCTCGTAACATGAATAGTATCTACAAGATAACACTGACGTGATCTAAAAGTTAGTGTTCAAAGGTTGTTCAAGGGTTCAAGTGGCAAAGAAATTGGTGACTGACTTAAGACTTCAAAGTATTTGGGACCATAATTTGCAGTTAAAGAAACTGCCAAAACGTGTATTGAGAGTATGCCAAAAATGGCAATGGAAGTGATCAAATTAAAAGGTGGCATTACAAAATATTGAAAATCTCTTTGTGACTTCTAATTTTTGCCATTATCTTCCCTATTTAAGATGTTTCATAATCTACTACAACTTGCAAGGGTACAAAGGTGGCCCCCTACTGTAACTCGCAAATTATCATGTGTACAACATGAATATTGTTAATCTGAATATATTTATTTTCTAATACAGTTTATCAGAACCCTTAATTGTAGAAATTGCATGTGATCTTAGCTTACTAAATGGTACCACTAACCTAATTATGATTTTTTTTCATGATTGTTCTTTATCTGCACACTTTAAATGCATTTAATACAAAAAAATTACTTTTAGTATTTTCTATACATTTCTGCAACTGTTTCTTCTAGCTCTGATGTATAAATAAACTATTTTTCACTTTAAAGACGGACCAATTTCAGAGGTCATATCTAATAGTGACAGATCACATTGCACTGTTGCAATATTTTTGCCTTTGTAATATGCATGGGTAGATTATCATTTCTAGATGCTTTTGTAACATGAAACATTATTTGTTTTCAGCCTGGACATAATTTGTAATCATGTGCGGCTGGATATAATCACAGGAAAGGGCATTTTTGAATATGTTGTCGACTTCTTCCCTCAAGAAAATAATCAATTTTTCAAAAATCAGATGGTCAGGCAACACGAGGAGGAACTAGGAGATGCTCTTTTCTTCAATGGAGAGAGTTTGTTTCTTTCCACAGAAAGAAATGAAGTATGTATGTTTATTTAGGCTTAATTTATATTTCATTGTACATTCACAGAAAGTTCAAATTAGCATCACAAGCGTCCAGACAAATATTCAAGTCATACATGCATACTCATATTTTAAGCTCTCTGTGTATAAATGTTTAAGATATTATATTATTCTGTTTTAATTGAACTCATTTTCCTAGTGGTGTCTGAGAGTTTTTGTTAAATGGGTGGGAATGGAAATTTTCCATGCTTTGGAATGCGAGTATGCCCTGCGATATTCTTCTCACACCCATTTTTCCATTTGCAGATAGAAATGGGAACCAGAAGTCAGATTAAGCGGTTTGAAGGTTCCCAGTACCCACCATAAATTCTTTTTCCTCATTTCCTTACCTTCTTCACTTGCAAGCTTCTTAGTCAGCAGCATAGGAGATCTTGATATTGGTTTAGTTGGCCCAAGTATCCCATCTATTTTGGGGATAGATCATTTTAATAGCATGTAGAAAATGCAATTTTCCTAAGGGAGATTACCATAAGTAAACTCAATGTCATCCTGGGGGGAAAAATTGGTACTGTTTTTTAGAAAAAAGATTGAATTACCTATAAATTATCACTTTTGCAAATTCATGTTATAATTTAAAATTTAAATCTTGGTCTTTTCTTCGTACGTACAAATTTATCAATTCCAGTATAAATATTATTTTTCAACCACTGGGCAGAGAGCCGCAGAGAGCATAGGCTCCCGGCAGACACAGACTTTACCGCACTTCCACATCTCAGTCATCTCAGCCCACTCATCTCCTGACATTGTGGGAAAGTGAAAGAGTGATTTTTGTTCGTATTTTCTCTAAGAAACAATTAATGAAACTAAAGATTTAGTACTATTGAGAATGTCCCACTTACTATGCGCCAGTTTCATAACTTCCAAATGGTTCACGATATCGAAATGCAGTTTTCGCTCAACAATGCGGAATCATGAGGCAAGTAATATGCCGTAGAGACAGAAATAGTATAGATACGTGGAAATACATTGTTAGCCGTGTTAGCTACGAAGCTACTTTTGAAATACGAATTAAAGCAGATATTACTAGGAGTGAGATAATTCTGACCTCGAATGATTAAAGATACAAAATTGTTTCTTTTAATATTATTGAAACAGTAGTGACTCAGATGGGCCATAGGTTCCAAGATTTAAAAACTTACATTTTATTGAATTTCTTGAAGAAAAGTAGTTTCCATCTGAATAAACATCCTTTTGTTCAGAAAAGTTTTCTTTGTTTCGTAATAAAATAGTATCCATTCTTTGACAGTGATCAGCTTTGAAATAAACTAACCAATGTATACATTAATACTGCAAAACACAAGGCTGCAGGTCTGTTGCTGAAATATTTGTTAGACAAATTGGTCTAGAAAAACATTATTAAGAGACTGTTTGGTTGATACAATTCAGTCTAGCTTTCCCTCTATCTACTGCATTATGTGGAAGGAGTTAATTAAAGATTCCAAAGACATTACTGAGAAATTCCATTGGAAATATCAGAATTGGAAATTTCAGTATATTGGCTATCAAGAAGTGTCTGCTAAATTAACTGTGCTGAAACGACAGCTTTAAAGAACAAATTATGGATGTTTTTGCTAAATGAACAAAGCAATGAATGGAGCTAATTTGCAAAAAAATGTAAGATAAGATTTTCAAAATACCCAACTGCAAGACTAGCTTCGTCACTGGTACCGAGGACCCACAAAACATGAATTCTCGCTACACAAAATTTTAGAAGTCATTTACTGTATATATGAACAAGATTTATCTACCTTTCATTAGGAGGATCCGGAAGTAAGAGTTTTTCTGTCAAAAATTCATGGTTTTCTGTTGCACAATTACAATACTTTCTCTTCTTACCATATAAGGGCAAGTAATAAATAATATACTGCACTCCAGTATTACTATGTGTACCCTAAGTCTTAAAACAAGAATAATATGAAGACAACAAAATATACTAATACTAATTGATTTAATACAATGATCCAACAAAGTGGCCAATACAACCTACACCAATAATAGCTTCTGACACAGTTGAATTACTTCTCTTACAATGATCCATATACAGAAAAGAATTTGAAATCACCTTCATCACCCTACACTACATTTCACACAATACATACATTATATAAGTTCTATTCACAAGTGATATTAACACAGATTAAATTAATTTGCTAAATTGATGAACACTGAGGAAAGGGTTCAGAGTTTAGGAGGCAAACAATTGTTCTGTTATTGCTTTATTTGAGAAAGTAAATTTCTAGATGTCTATTTTATGTGATTTTAATTGGATTTGTGTTTAATATTCCATAAATTGATGTATGTAGATTTAAATAGCCCAAGAATTATTTCTTTTGAAGCCAGATAAGTACAATTTGTTTTATCCAATATCCTGAGGCAAATAGTGAGAAGGATTCTGGAATGTTTAAATGGTGGTGGAAGAATTAGCAAAACAAATTGGTAACACAAATGTCCAAATTGTTTCTTGTCAAGAACCTAGAGGGTGAGGGAATAGAATTATTTTAAAAACATTATATAGTATATTCCAGTGGTATGAAAAATCATGCTGGTTGAGCAGAAACTGTTTTTTTATCAACAAAAGATTGATTAATATTTTGAGTTTCTTTCTTTCTTGATGTCTTCAAAAAGGTTATTCATAATGAAGGTATGCTCCTTGTCTTATAATAATTCCATTAGAGCACTACTTCTACAATGAATCTGCTTGTGTCATTCATAAGAGAGAGTAGTAATCAAACATTTCCACATTATCATAGATAAGATTTTTTTTATTACAAAGGGACTGTTTTAAAATTACTGAATGTCTGTATTTACAGGAAAGTTACTTTGAGTGCATTCATCCAACTAGTGACACAAGAGTGAAGATGAGTTTAAAATGTAAAGGACGTGCCACAGACACAGATGCTGAAGAAATTTTCAATATGGTATTTAGAAAGATCATGACCAATTTGGGGGTGAAAAATGTTGGATATAGATTTTTGGATCCACTTGGAAGTATCAACCTGACCCATTATGGGTAAGTAATTGCTACTGTTCTTCAACATGTACATCTATAATATAATAAATAATATGGTAACCTGATATTTCAAGACAATTGATACTCATTATAATTATAATTAATTGCTCATAAAAGAAAAGTGTTTATTACACTTCATAATGTTTTATGAATCTTGTATATTCACATCATCAGTTAAGGCTGTTGTGTTTTTTTAAATATTCTTAATATAATTTTTTTAATGATTTTTTATTATTTACATGGAAACAACAAAACAATTTGTTTTTGATGATACAAATGAATTTTGCATTTTCTTATTTCTTGCTTGATTTTTTCCAAGCAATAAGTAATAGAATTTTTTTTCCAAATACGTGATAAGAATTACTTCCTTTCAAAAGGTAGAAAGAGTACCAAATTGGTAGAAGAATTTTCCACCCAAAGTTTTTATTTTTGATTATGTTTGCATAGTCATAAATAATTCTAGTCATAAATTCACTGTCAGTAGTCCTTCCTGTATCGCTCTACTCATTTCATTGTAATCATCACTACAAACAGCATTTTTGTTTTTCTTGGGCACCTCCAATTGTCAACGTGCGTTTTGCTTCATTTAAACTAGAGGCAACCAATCATTGTCAGTATTGTCTCCATTAAAGAAAAGATTACTTTAATCCGTTGCAATTATAAATTTCGTTTATCAATCTCTAGTTTTTCAATTTTAGATAAGTAATATACATAGGTAAAACGCCAACTTTTGGCAAGATGTCCATGATTCTCTTGCGTCGGGTTGAGCACAAATGTGTGCATTAACACTTCGCTTCCAGAAACTTTTTTCTTTTCTTAGTTACTACCAATTATTTTCTGTAACTTCAAGATCCAAATATTTTTTGCCTTTGCAAGGAAAGGTATTATTTAAGGTACCTGTTTTGAAGTCTTTCAATTGTCATTCATGATTCCCCAATAGCTTTCATTTTTGGACCACATTTCGCTGATTTCTGGGAGCTGCATTTCAAATCTGCCTATTTCAAGAACTTTAAAAGAGCTTCATGTTTGGTTAAGCACATGTAATTCCCTCAGAATCAAGGTTTGTAGCAAGAACTACCGCTACGCTACTATTTGTTCCATCAACTACATCGCAGCAATAAAATGTAATCAAGTTGGGTGAGAGAGAAGGGATTTATAGCAGTGAATATCTCAGTGATGGACCATCGAGCAATCAAATGTTTGTCTCTCTCAAATCACGTCGATGAAAATAAATCACTCTCCCTGATCCACGAAGACAAATGGACCATGGGGGTGGGGTGGGGGGCTACCAGTGCAAAGGATTCTCTTTGTCATGAGCAAGCAAAGAAATGTAGCAAGGACATAATCTGTTCCGAGAAATTCGATTAATTTGTAACACAGTAGTGAATGTCACCAATTTTGGTCGTAAAGTTCAGTGAAGACTCGCCCCAAGAGGTTGTGCATAGCATAAGAGAATGTGCATAGAATACCCTTCTACCTGTAGGATGTAACACAGTTTTTAACCTTTTGTGACATAAAATAAATTAACAAAATAGCCAAAGAGATTTGTTAGATATAGATAGATCCAAGGAATTAACTGTCCTGAACTGCGGTGCCTGAACTTGATATACACTTTTGCTTTTTTACTTTTATCGGCGTTTCCACTTGTGAGCGGTTGCCTCTTATTTTGTGCTTCCAGCCTTCTCTATCCGACCAAAGGTCTTTGTCCATTCTTCTTTCACGCATTTTCCATTACTACGGAAATCCAGGTTTTGCAAGGCCTTCCTCGTTTTTTCCTTCCTGGAGGAGACCAGTCAAGGACATTCTTGGGCCACCTTGTATCTGACATTGTTCTCAGGTGGCCATACCATTGTAGCATTTTCCTTTCTAATCTGTCCACCACTGATTCCGATTGCTGCATTCGTTTCCGAATTTCTACGTTTCTAAATTTTTCCATTCTAGAAATTCGGCAGCTCCTTCTTAGTCCATCCATTTCTACTGCACATAATTTCTGCTTCTGGTGTTCCATCAAGACCCAATTCTCTTCACCATAGGTTAGAATACTTTCAATAATAGTTGATACAATAACCTTTTTTGTTCTTACATGAATTTTTCGACTCCATAGTACTCCATTCAGCATTCTTATAGCTCCTCTTGCCTGTTTAATGTGGTCATCAAAATCCTTTTCACAATTTCCAGACATATGCAGGATTGTACCCAAATATTCGAACTGTTCAACTAACGTAATCCTTCCTACTCCTTGTACTTCCAAATCCTACCTAAATGTACCTTCTCCTCCTACTATCAGATACTCTGTTTTTTTTCAGATTTAATTTAAGCCCACCCTGTACATACATCTCAACTATTTTCCGGGTCATATATTCTACATTATCTCTAACTTGAGCCATTATTACCAGATCATCTGCAAATAGTAGTGAATGTATTGCTTGTCCGTTTACAACAACACCCATTCCTTAACATGAAGCATTCCAACCTTTAAGGACCTCTTCTAAATAAATTTTAAAAAGAGTAGGAGACATTCCACATCCCTGCCTTAAACCTTTAGTAGTTTTTAATTCCTCAGAAATTCTATTTCCGATTTTTACCACAGCTCGGGTATCCACATACATTTTCTTTATGAATTGAAAGAGTGAATCTTCAATTTTAAAATTTCGTAGTGCCCTCCACAATTCATATATAGGCACTGAGTCATATGCTTTCTCCAGATCAATAAAAACCAGATGAAGCTCTCTTCCCTACCGACTCATTTTCTCACACATTTGTCGTAATATAAAAATGTTATCTATACAGGACTTCCCTTCTGTAAAACCAGCTTGTTGTTCTGAGATTTTCATGGACACCTTAGCCTCCAATCTATTCTTCACTATTTTGCTCAACAGTCTTCCAATTGATGCCATTACACTTATACCCGATAATTGTTCATATCTTTCTTACTTCCCTTCTTGTGAATAGCTGAAATATATGATAGATTCCATTCAGTTGGTAAATCGTCCATAAATAATATCTGATTGAACAGTTTGGTCAATACTCTAATCATCTTCTGTCCACTATACTTCCACAAATCCATGGGAATTCCACCTGGTCCTGTTGCTTTACCATTTTGTGAAAATTTTAGGGCTTTCCATATTTCTTCCTCAAGTATAGGTTCTACCTCTTTCATACCTCACTTTATATTTCTAGTAGTTGTTTCCACTGAAATCTATTTTCCATCAGCATCTCAGAAAAATGCTTCTTCCATTCCAGTAATGTAATCATATTCAAACTTACTTTATTTACATTCGGCGCTTTGTCTTATAGCTCTCCAAGCTTGTCTTGTTTTACTGTATCCCACTGTATGTTCTATCCCATAACATATCCTTTCCCAAACCTCCTCTTTACATTGCCTCACAATCTTTTTGGTTTTCGTTTTTAGTAAGTAATTCCTATTCCTAAATCTTCTTGACGCTTAGAATTCAGCCAGATCCCATAAGCTTCCTTCTTATCCTTAATTGCCACAGCGGCTTCGCCATTCATCCATTCCACTCTTTCCTTACTATCCATTTCTATCCCAAAAGTTTCAGCAGCTGTCTCATGTACCCATGTCTTCATATGATCATAGAGTTCTTGAGCTCTCCAATCATAATCTTGTATATCTAATTTAGTTGCAAGACGTCTCTGATAGAGATCCCTAACACTTTCCTCTTGCAATAGACTAAGCATGTATCTTGGTTCATTATTTTTTTTATTCTTATGTAAATGACATATCTTTTTGTAATATCCTTGGGAATGCTATTTTAGTAATAAGAAGGTGATGGTCTGTACTGCATTCAGCTCCTCTAAATACTCTGACATCTTGAACTATTATCTTTCTATTTTGTTTAACCATAAGATAATCTATTATAGATTGTATTCTTTTCCTCCTCTTTTCCCAAGTAAACTTATGAATGTCTTTGTGGTGAAAATAAGAATTCATAATGGAACAATTCTGCCATTTACAGAATTCTATTAATTGCTTTCCATTGTCATTTATCATTGTTTCTCCCTATTTACCCATTACCCATCTTCTTCTTTATTTCCAATGCGCCCATTTAGATATCCCATAATTATAAGTTCATCTATCCATCACCTCTATTATTCTTCAAAAAATTCATCCTTCTTCATAGTCAAGGATATACACTATGCCTAATATAAACAGTTTTACTACAATGCCAGAAGTGGTTTATCCCAATACTAAAGTTCGTATTGTAATATAAAATTAAATTTTTGAATAAATGACAAAAATAAATAATAAAAGGACTTTTTGTGGGTGGTCTTTAACTTTTTTCTGATACCTACCTTATTTTCAATCACAGTAACACTTCTAATTTTCTCTTTCAGCTGAATTGACAGATTAGCTATTTACACACCCCTGAGCATGTCGAGTAAATACAAAACGTACAAAACTGAATGAATAGGTGGAAGGGAATTCTAAACAGTTGTTACAATTAGTGTTAAGCGATTGTGTGCATGTGAAAAAATGTTGAATAGGACACGTCAATGTCTTGCCAGATTGATTCATTTTGCAGTACTCAAAGTCATTTGTGAAGGCATTTGCTATTTCCACAGCTTAGTCTGTGTAACACTATCAATACTACAGAATAAATTTCTGTTTCTTCTCCCACCCCTAGCTACTGTAGATTAAGCATTTGTGTCATCAACTTGAAGTATTATAATAAATTTATTTCTAAGAAAGAAAACTAAAAATTTGTTTATTTTCAGTTTGGAGATTTGGCCTGTTATTTTTTCATGTGTAAAAAAATTTGACGGAGGACTGCAAGTCTGTGTTAATGCTTCTAATTGTGTTATACACAGCAAATCTGTTTTGGAGCTAATGTGAGTACAATATTTTCCTTGGCTTTAAATATTTTTGTAAGGAAGTTTATATAATACTTTCTACATAACAACTACCATTTTATATGTTTCAAGACGAAGTTACAATGTATGTTATTTAGTTATTTGTATATTGTGCATGTTAGTTACTTATCCTGAACATATTCTTAAATATATTTGAGTGAAATATCTCCTAAGAAGATAACAAGTGATGTGCAGTTAACTTCGGTCATGATTACACCTATCTTTCAATTATATAGTATACGAATATGAGAAAGTAAAAATGGTGAAACTGATGCAGAAACAAATAAACAAAATATTGGTATTGTGGTGAGTTATCATTGGCATTTACAATGAAATAATTATGAGTCGTCATTGCCAACAATATTATTAATTACAATAGTAGCTTTCGATGGCTTAGCCATCATCATCAGTTTTCTGCTGTATGGTTTTTGTGGCTTCCATACAGCAGAAAACTGATGATGATGGATAAGCCATCGAAAGCTGCTGCTGTAATAAACAATATTGATGGCAATGACGACTTATATAATTATTTCAAGTAAACAAAAAATGAATTATGGTTCTGAAAGCTAAACAAGCAAGTACACAAAGTCAAATTCTGACGTAACTAATGTCTGAAAATTAGAGTACAGTTACACAATCTGTAATGTATCTAATTACATTAGTACATTGCAATACACATGTTGAAAGCCATTCATTACATTCTAAGTATGATAAATTGCATCATTTAAGCAAAGATTGCATATTGTGTGACAAATGCAATGAGCCTTTACTTGGTTGGGAAAAAACTCCACCAACTGTCAGTGCCGAATTTTGCTATTCAATGAGAAATATACTCCCACCTCCCGTGAGTAAAACATCCACTGCACTGACGAGACTATTGATCTTAGCAGTTGACGCATCCAGAAACTTTAATCGAGCATATAATTTTCTGCATTAATATAAATATGTTAATACAGGGGCAGATCCAACAGGTCATTTTGAGGGATCATCTTTGGTGATTTTTGTTAAATAATCAACATATATTTATTGGTATTTTCTGCAATATCCATAATATATAAACCAATTGTACTATTGGTTATATTATTGTATAAATAATTACATGGTTATAATAATAAAATTAAAATAAGATTTAAAATTTTTTTTCATGCCAAATAAACAAAGGAAAAGTAACAAATGAAAATAAAACTATCTGAATTTAATAATAGAACTACATAGTGTAAAAACATGGAATATAGTATAGGTGATGCATCAGAGATAGCCACAAGCCACACTTCCATGAAATTTGAGATATTGCCATAGATCAGTACATGGTGAAATAGTCTCCTTCTATCATTTATCAGTAGTTGATCAGTAGAAGTCGCTAATGAGACATAGTTTGCAGCCGTTTGATGGTTGGATGTGGAATTATAAGGCAGAGTTGTTATCCATTTCTCTCTTTAGTTCTCTTTCTTTCCCTGACAGATAGCTACAAGTAACTAAAGAGGCATCAACAATAAAGAAATATTGCAAATAATAGTGACATTGAAGAAAAATGGATGTGACAGAGATGATGAGATTTTTGTTAGAGTACGTAATAGCACGGAATGCAGAATTATAGCTTGTATCAAAGCAGAAGGAAGCCACTTCAAGCAATTTTTTTAATTTTCAATTTCTTGTAACTGTAATAAATTATTTTCAGACCCTTGTTCATATGAAGGTGTTTTTTGTTTTTTTTTTTACTGTTTTCGTGCTAAAAACACGTCCCTGAAATATTCAACACCATTTAAGATACACCCAGTTCTCGCGAAATAATGTGAAATTTCTTTAGTATCAAAATTATGATAAGGAATAGTTTGTTTGGAAATAAATATATAATAAAATCAACAATAGTAAAAATGAAAGTTTTGACTTTGAAAAACTCATAGTACACTGCCATTCATTCAATCCCTGCCTAGACCGGCAAGCAGCTTCAATCCACTTCTGACTGTATGTTATTCTACTGTATAGAAAATAATTCAAAAATAAAATGCCTATAATAATAATTGACAAAATTTTAAAAATGAATACCTTGCGTTAAAGCAGCACTCAGTGTTGACAGGTTATTAACTAGTGTTGCATATGTTACCATATAGTTTCTCACAATATTTGTAGCTGCTACACAATATTATAGTACTACATAATCCTACAAAAGTGCTTCTAATCAGCACTTTTTTTACTTACATTACTTCTTACATTACTACTCAATATATATTAATTATAATAAATGGAAAAAAAAATGAGCTAATCTATGTATTGTTGCATGTGAAGTTCACTGCTGCATTGCGCAAAGTCACTATCAATTCAGCAAAGATATCAATATCACTTTCAGCACTGATTATAAATTGGTTGATATTTGAGACCATTTTATAAAAAATGCCATATCTTGAATACTTATCATTTGAGACAATATTATAAAATGATCTCACAGAACGATGCGCGTATTGTGGAACCAATAGTGAAATCATTCCGTGTATCAGTGGAAAGAAGTAATATTTCTCAACACATAAATGAAGAGAACAATCGATGATAATTGTCTTCTATTGACTAAATTTTTATAATAAGTAACCATAATTGATTCCGTGTTGCAGTTAACTGCCAGTATCTCGAAATTCTAAATATTTCATCTTCTCTGACAATCGTCCAGGGCTTTTTATGATCAGGCAACTATATTACATATTCCAATTTAGATCTCACAATCGCAAAAAATATCAGCTTTAAAACATAGATGGATTTAATTTTCTTCGCCAATCTCATGAGAAAACAATTTTCTATTGATGCTCAATACGAGAGACTATGTGCTGTAAATGCCAGTTGACAGTCAAAATTGACCCCCCAATATTGTAGTTTTACAATGTCATCATTTTGTTTGGAATTTTCGAAAATGTAAGGAATTCACTGAATGTGGAACCTGCACTGTTTTTAAAGCATATTTTGCTCTATCCTTGGAAAAATTTTATGAATCAATGTGAAGGCGTTTTTGAAATTTTTTTTGTTTATACATTTCCCTTATTTCAAGCAAAAATAATGCAAAAAAGTATCTACCTCTATTCTATAATGTTATAATTTTTTTTTGTTAAAGTGAATACTATTTGTTGACTGTTACAATTTAAATTAAGTGTCAGCTGAAAGAACTTAAACAGGTCGCAGAAACAAAACTTTGCAGAAATCTGAAGGTGCATATTTTCGTGAAAAGCAATGTTTAAATATCTCACTTCGTGAGAAGGTAATAATCAATGTGTCGCGCGTTTACTAAAGATATAATGCGCATTAATTAGATGTCTCTACAACTTTTCGCTAGACGTTGGCTCTCGCTAGTTGCCCCCCCCCCCCTCTGGATCCACCACTGCATTAATTAAGAAATAAAATTGGGTTAATATAATCTGATATCTTCTACAAAATTGATTCATCCTTTTATCATTGGAAATCTTTCATACATTAAATAAGTGAAAATGTTTTTCTTTAGTGATAGATGATATTTACTTCGCCATGCTAGTGTAAAATGTGTACTGTACACTTTAGATTTTGAACCATTGCAACAAATTATCATATCAAAGTGCAAAAAAGGATCTTTAATGCGAGGATTTTGTTCAAATTTTTAAAATCCCTTTTGTATCTGAGAAAAAGTTTGTATAAATTTTGAATATTGGGAACTTTTTTCATATAAATTGATTCACTTTTTTATGTTCAGTATGCTAATGATTGTCAAAAGCTACTACTAGGAGATTTCTCTTCTAGAGTAGCTTAAATGATCTCTACTACATTATATTTGACAGGGTATAACCTACTGGTAATTTTTCTATCAACTTACATCACCATTTTTACCATCTTTATGTTGTTTTATTTCCAATGAGTGTTTTTCCTTTCACTTAGGGTTAACTTTTAATTAAGTAATGTATTTGTTTCTTATTTTTCTTTGAGGTTTCCTTTTTTGTGCGCATGGCTAAGAGCTGTGTTATCAATGCCATCAATCCTAAATTTAGAAATAATGTCAATTTATGGTTATAGAGCAAAGTAACAGCACGTAAAAACAATTGAGGTTTTCTTAGATTCATTGAAATTTCAATTCCCTCTCAAGAACTAATAAATGAAGAAGAATGTGCATTTTTAGCTAGCGAGTCTTGGGATCAATTACTTATCTACGTCCACAGTACAGTGATTTCTTTTAATGTAGAAATTTTTTTATATAACTTGGGGGATCTTTTATTTCTGGTACAGATATCATTCACTTGCTATTGGCTTTTTTATGTTTAGAAAATGCAATATGATGTTCAGTTTATATTACTTAATAACTGTGTACAATCTAGTGATCTTGTAATTAATTCTTGGATTATTTGGCTTGTATTTTTGTTAACCACTGTTACAGAAATCGAATACGACAAGGAAACCCCTGTACATTCCAAGAAGAATGTTTGAAACTGATTGTAGGGGCTACTGTTGTAACAAGATACAACCATAAAATGTATGAGGTGTATGATATTTGCTGGGATAAGCACCCAGAATCCACTTTCACAACAAATCAGGGAAATCAAATAAGTTTTTTTGAATACTATCTTAACCATCATCAAATAACAGTGCAGGATATGGGCCAGCCCCTGCTATTAGCAAATGTAACTAAAACAACCGACATCCTAAAGAAAAACTGCCAAGAGGAGCTAGGTATATATCTCATCCCAGAACTCTGTTATATACGTGGGTTGACTAATGAAATGAAGATGAATTTGAGGTTGGTGAGGGATATTAACCAGAGATTCCAGCCATCGCCTACTATCCTCCATGATGGAATCTGCAAACTCTTGCAGAAAATTAGTGGTAAGCAATTGGAATAAAAATGTGATTTATGTGTATTTTTTACTTTCTCACATACTGTTCATGCAGTATTGTGAAAGTATTGTAATGCTGCAGGAAAAAACAGTGATTTTGCAAAACTGCATTTACTCTTGAATACTCAAGAATGTTTATTCTGAAGAAAAGTAATTTAGAAAATTAGACTGGAACATTGGTTTTGCGTTGGAAAAGCAGGCACATGGAACTCTGAAATTTCAATTGCCTGCAAGCCCATATTATCAAGTACTAATGAAAATACTTTTCTTGTAGGCAATGACATGTCTCAAAGACTGCTATCTGCATGGGGTTTTGAGGTTGATGCATTTCCCCTTAGACTTGAAGCCCGTGTGTTAAATCAAGAGACCATATGGTATAAGAATGCAAGAATCGACCTTACTGCAGGTCAAACTAGATGGTCTGTTGACCATCAGCTCTTGATCACAGTAAGTATTGTACCATTTATTAATTTATCTGCCTATGTATTTTTTTTAAATCCTGGGACAATTTATCTGTATTTAATTCAATATAGCAAATACAAGTTACTCATGTAATTGCACTACAAAACTTTGTTCCTTGCATCAGTGTAGGAAATGTTGCTTAATAAGCTGATTGTGTTGTTAGCATTGTTCAATATTTATGCAATTAACAAAAATGCTATTCATTTAGTAATAGTAAGCAATAAGTACAGAAATAAACAGTATAATAATTTTATTGCTTAATTTCAGGCAGGTTTTAGTGATGCATTATTTAATTGTGTTGCAATATTCACCTAGTCAATGGCTTTAGATGCTGTGTCCTTGAAGCTTAATCATCATCATCATCATCATTATCATCATCATCTTCTTCATAATCCTTATCATCATTAGGGCCTGGATAATTATGTACCAAAAATTAGTAAAATACATATGTATACAGGAGTCAGTACATGGAAGACAAGAGAAATGACCAGTAAAGAGAAATGGAATGTTATCCAAGAAGTAGTTCTCAATCCCAATGTGAAAAGAATTGAAATAGCACGAAAGTTAATAAACATCCCTCCATCTACATTGAATTCTAATCATAATCAAGAAAAAAATTATAGAAGTGACATATTTTGAAAGAGGAAATAGTAAGCAACTGCGTGTGCATGACTGTAAATTTAGAAATGGAGTTCGGAAAAGTGCTTTTGAATTGGATAATGCAAGCATGCGCCTCTAATATAGTGGTAGATGGCACAATTGTTTAGCGAAAGCAACGTTCGGGGCCCAGTAGATGGGTCTTAAAGACTAAAGCTTCCAATAGTTGGATGGAAAGATTTAAAAACAGGCACAAGAAAGTGTACCAGAATTCTTGAGGAGTGTGGACTGTGAAGTAGTTGAATCATGGAAGGAAACAACGCTTCCCAATATTCCAGAAAAAATACAGCCCCAATGATGTTGAATGCAGATGAAACGGTCTGTTTTATCTCCTTCCCCCCTACAAGACTTTGGAGTTTAAGGGGGGGAAATAAGCAAAGAGAGCCTAACTGTTTTGCTTTGCTGCAATGAATGTGGTACTGAAAAGTTGTTGTCTCATAATTGGGAAGACTAAGAAACCACGACGTTTTTTGACTCTGCATACTTTTCCATGCCGATACAATTCTAATGGGAAAGCGAGGATGACATTATTTATGTTTTGACAATTTTTGCGGCCGTGGAAAGCTAGGTTAGACGCGAGAAATAGAAATATTCTTCTGTCTATTGACCAATGCGCAACACAATCTCGGGATACGTCGTATTTCAAGAACAATTATTGTGAAATTTTCCGCCTAACTCTGCCAGGCATCTCCAGCCACTCGAACCATTGTAAAATGTATGAAGCAAGAAACAGTAAGAAACTTGCACTCAAGGGATTGGCGTCTGTTTAGACAACAAAGAGAAAAATAACAATTCTTTGTGCAATGCACAACGTGCCTGGGTTTCTGTTCAACAAAGTATCATTTCTCATTGTTTCAACAAAGCAGACTTCGGGTGGTCGATTACGTCACACGAGAAGTAGATGCCATTGGCGAAGAAGAACGGTGCCAAATAACCAGTGAAGAAACGAACATGTAGTCAGTTAGCTTCGAGGCTTATGTCTGCTGTGATGAAGATGTAGTTTGTGATTTTCTCAAAATAGACGATGTGATAGGAGAGGTTAATTAAAAAGAGGATGACCCACATCCTACACTAGTTCCTCGTGGAGAGTGCGAGCGGCAGGGCCGTGAAGCGAGCGTGGAAAGTGCGAGCAGCTGGGCCGTGAAGCGAGTGTGAAGATTGCAAGCAGCAAGGCCGTGAAGCGAGCGGGGAGAGTGCGAGCGGCAGGGCCGTGAAGCGAGCGTGGAAAGTGCGAGCAGCTGGGCCGTGAAGCGAGCGTGGAAGTGCAAGCAGCAGGGCCGTGAAGTGAGCGTGGAGAGTGCGACGCAAATGTTTGTGAAAGACGAACGACGCAAGTGGTCGGACTGCACAAGAGTGTGTGCGAGAACTGCGTGAAGCTTGTGGTAACGCCGCATATCTCTATCGTATGGTGGCACGATGCGTGAAAATGATCCGTGAAGTCAGGGACTCCGTTGACGATCTCCTCGTTCATGCAGACCCCTAACAGACAACAACAAAATTTGGTCGCCCTGAAGCTGAGGAATGAGACCACCCTTTCCAGGATCGTTTCGATAGTCGAAACGTTGGCTCAGTCGTATGAATCACGGCTGAAGCCGCAATGCAATGAAAGTACCCAAGTCCTCGCCCTGCCCTGGATAAGGCGGTGTGAAAGTCGTGATTATTGTGGCCTGCGATATCCATGGGGTTATTCTCCATCATGCTGTATCTCACAGGCAGACGGTCAATGCAGCGTACTACTGTCGCTTCCTGTCACACCATCTCCGTCACGCACTCAGAAGGAAGCAGCGACGCGTTGTGGCACGGACTCCGTCATACTGCATCACAACGAATGCTGTCACACATTACCACCTTTATACTAGGCGTGGTCACATGACCACCGCCCTGATGGAGCTTGTGCGTCTGTGGGGGGTGGGAGGTATCGAAACATCCACCATATTCGGCCGATATGAGTCCGTAAAAATACGGCCTCTTCGGCAAGATGAAAGAATCACAAAGAAAAGCAATCATTTGCAGCGTTAGGCAGGCCTTCTGGGCCATCGGCAGATATGAACGCACTTATTCATACATTGAAGATCTGTAATAACGAATAGTCTGTAAATAAAATGGTGTATGAATTATGACGGTATTACCTCTACTTTGTATCCAACCCTTGAATTTTTTAGGGCAAGCTTCTGCTGCAACTCCACTGGCATGCGCCGCTGCTGCTCTTGGTTGCAGGGACAAAGAACATAGATACCCGAGATGAAACGTTTGCCTGATGACCTGCAGACCAAGGTCCATCAGAAATATTCGTATGATTATTGTTTTTATAAATTTCTAGCCTATTAATAAAGGATATAAATTACAATCATTCTAGTGACCAAAGCAAATGTCTCACCAAAACAAGAGGAAAATGTGTTTCTAAGAGTCAGCAGTTGACTAGTCTTAATATGTACTTCCAGAGCAGCAAAAACTTGCAAGCAATACTCATTCCTCTGATGAAAAGTTATTGTGATTGTAGCGACAAACCCTTGAAAACATTAACAGAAAAATGTAGGGTAAAATGGACCCCAGTCAATGCTTTTTCGTGTGTAAAATGCTACTGTCTAGCAGTGGAATTGGATGAGCACAACAGGAATACAGCCAGGCAGGAACCAGAAAGTAGAGAAAAATATTTTTGTGCATTTAACCATGGAATAAAATGGCTTGAGGTCTAGTACCTGTTGTTTTTAAGGATTAATAGTATATCTAATATTTCATGTTAAAGAATCAATAACACAATTTTCTTGATTATGAATGAGGAGGATGTTGGGCAAAAGCTATGGTTATTGACAGTGTTGAATTTTTATTGTTCTAAAAGATTGATTGAATTACATTATGTCTGTTATTTTCGTGATAATAACCTATAAGAACAAGAATGTCAAATACTGCTTCTCTTAGCTTTTTTAATTTGCTCTTATTGTTTCTTTTTAACAAGCCAATAATGTTAAAGGGAAGACTCTGCAAATTTTCCTTTACTTACCAAGTTTATGTAATTTTCAGTAATTTAAGGAAACGTCAATATTTTATGACTAGATATTTTAGTAAATTCATCAGTGACTATTTTAGGCCTACTAGAATCTGTGGGTCTATTATAGCTACATGAACACAATTTTCATTACATACACAATTTTGCAAACATTCTACACTATTCCTAGAAATTGATCCTTTTGAATAGTATGATCTTTTTTTAATACTAAGAAACATAAAATGTAAGGAATTTCAATAATGTTCTTAATTAATCATTTTTTCAGCATTTTCAAAGTCATTAATGGTTTTGTAAATGTACTTATAAAGAAATTGACTTTGCAAGTTCATGCATCCAATTCAAATATTATAGGAAAATAAAATATAATTTTCTATTTGTAAATTAGCAAATAGAAATTAATTGTTCATTTTGAGCTTCTAACATATTTTGAAAAATTGTTAAAACTTACACTGTTTGGAATCTTATTTTACTCCTTTACAATATATCTTTTATATTGTTTTATCATCTGTCAACATTAATTATTCCAGAAACAGCTTAGGAATTGGGCTATTCTTTACCTTGAAGATGACAAGAGGCTGGCTCAAAATTTGGAATGTAACTTGCGGTTCGTAGCGGGATCCATGGATATGAGAATTTATCCTGGTAAACTCATTCAAGTTCCAGAAAACAGCACTGAAAGTTATTTGCATACTTTGCGTTGCATAACTGACCAACTCTTGCAGTTAGTAATTTTCCTTTTCCGATCGGCACAATCTGACAGATACTCAGCAGTAAAAAGATTTTGCTGCATTGATCAACCCCGTCTTTCTCAGGTTAGATTCTTCATTTTCTTAAAAGTAACTTTCTTTAATGATTTATGTTTTGTTAATGTTTTTAGTTTGTGTTGTTAAAGAAGTAGATTTGATGATAAACACCAATTTTGCACAACAGGTCATACTGACACAGACCTTAAGAAACACATTTAAGATAAGAACTGTAATAAAAAATCTTGTGATGCAAATCAATTGCAAATTGGGTGGAGCACTTTGGAGTTTGACAGTTCCGTTCGTAAGTTATCAAAAATTATATTTTGAATAATGCTTCAATGGTTTTATGATATGAACTATGAATATCTGCCAACTTAACTAATGTGGAGGATTTATGTACATAGCCCATTGTTATTTCTGGTCCTTTCTCAGTACTTTCAGTTCACAGTACTTTTCAGATATTTTTACTTTTCACACAATTAGTAATATGCAAGTAAAAATATGCCAATAATGGAATAAAAATAGCGTATGAAAGTGCATATAATAAAATGAAAATAAAATTAAAATTATGGCACCAGGACCACAAAATGTAATTCTCTGGAGGTAGATTCTTCTCAACTTTGAGTTTGAAATATTGCGCTGAATCTTCTGGTAGCTACTTGATTATTTTTTGGATATTCTTTAATTAATCCTTAGAACTAGTGCCCATGCAAGTGAGCTTTGTGCAAGCTCAATGTACACATGAATCTATTATTGATAACCATGGTAATTTGATTACAAGCATTTCTGTACCTCAGCATGTATTATAAGAAACATATAACAAAGATTATTTTGAATGAACTATTTATAATTTACAGATTGTTTGATACATGGTTTGGGGAAAAATTAACTTTTATTATTCCAGGGGAAGCTAATGGTCTGTGGAATTAATATTTTCCCTGACACTTCAAGAAAGTGTTTGGTAATGGGCTTTGTGGCCTCAACAAATCCACTTCAGCTATCTTGGCACTCCAAAGTTGGTTTTGGAGCTTCAATAGAAGAATTTGGGGACACTCTTTATTTGGGCATGTTAAGTGCTTTGAGAAAGTATAAAGAGGTGAGTAAATTCAAAATGTGAAGTACCAGAATATTAACATTGATGGGAAGGGAATTCAAAGTGTATCCTAAAGGTGTAGTGGGTGGTTATTTAGATGTTGCATTGTCTGCCTGATTTCATGGGCATCTGGAAATCATAACGATTGAATATTTTTAAGAGGGATGTGGGGGCTCAATTCGTAACAGGTTATCATGGCACAGCATTTGCATTAGCCACCTCTCAATGCACAAAATATGAAGAAAGACAAAATTTCAAGGCATTGGGATCATCTCAGACAAGAAATAGTCTGTTCAATGACAGTAGTACAAGGGTTCATAACAAATATTGATGTATTATCAGTTATTATTTCATATTTTAACAAATTGTTGATGAGAGAATTATTCATTTATAAACAAATTATTGTAAACAAAACCATCAACATGGTTGTTAAAAAATACATCTGCTTTAATATACTGATGTTTTTATATAATCATTGATGTTTTGGAAACGCCAACATCAATGTTGCATCCCTACTCCACAACAGGGTGAATATTTCATCATGCTCTACTCGTAAAAAAGCAGTGATCTTTGAGACGTGACAAATGCTGTTTAGAGACACTATCATTTGTGCAGGAATTGCAAATTCATGCATCGAAACCAATTCCAGAAATCTGCCTTCAAAACTGCAGTGCCACCCCTCACACAACTTAATGTGTGATGTGGAACTAAGAACTGATGGGAGATTTTATCTCACAGAATGACATGAACTCTTTCATGTTATTCATTAGACAAATCTGATTTCAGATTATTCCACTTATTTGAAATTTTTCAATACAAATACAAACTTTTTTAAACTTGTTTAACATTTTATTATTAACAAACGTTTCAACATTTTGCGTTATTTAAAAAATCAATAAAGCTTGAAACATTTGGGGGCAGGGTAAAGGGTTCCTCCCTTTCCCCCTACACATTACACCTATACTGTCAGGAAATGAAATGAAAATTATTTCGTATGCAACAGCTGTTCTCTATTTCAATTTCCTCCAACATACAAAGGATCCATCACATACCAATCTCTTAAAAATAAAGATTCTTGGAACCACAAGAAAAAATGCTACAAAAGAACTCAAATATTGTTCCAAAGGAAAATAACTTTCCACAAACACTACCTCAAGGAAATGCACTACAATCTTCCACCAACAAACGAAGATCATATGAACAAATTATTACTAACAAACAGCTGTCAGAAAAAAGTGCACTTGCGGAAACTCTTAATGAATCATTCTAGAAATTCGAAAATCTTATTAGTATGCAAGCGGATCAAATAAGCACGCTAATAAATCTAATGTCCATACTTCTAGCAAAATGACAGACCAGCTTATCATCACAGCTTGGAACACAGTCTCGACTCAAGAGGATGAGAAGTCAAATATTTTCTGATTAACACTTGAGTAGATACACTTTTAGTGTCTAAAACACACTTGACATATATGAACCACATAAGATTCCTGAAATGTACTACATATACAACAAATCCTCCTAGAGGAAAAGCTAACAGAGGTACTTCAATCATAAGAAGAAATTATATTAATCACCATGTAGTAGATAAATATTGTGAAGAATACATGCAGGCAACAACGATCCAAATTAACGATTCACATGGGCTCTGCTCTATATTGTCCGCCTAAGCACAAAGTGAAACAGAATGATTTTAAAAGGTTTTTTAAATCCTTTGGAATGAGATTCGTTGGCGGAGATTATAATGCACAACATCGAGTGTAGGGTTCCAGGTTAAATACAACTAGAGGTGAGGAATTGAATAAAACTATTAAGTCCATAAACCTATCATACTATTCATCTGGGCAACCAACTTACTGCCATCAGATACATGCAAAATTCCTGACCTTATAGACTTCTTTATTGTGAAGGGCATTTTCTCCAACTTCATATAAATTGAAGCCTCATTAGATCTCAGCTCAGATCACAATCCCATTCTTATTAAAATTAGTTCACAAACTTTTACTACAAAAGAGCAAGTTAACTTACCATATTCAAAAACTGACTGGGAAGAGTTTTAGATGTTTATTGAAGAAAATCTAATGGTTCAAATTTCACTGAAGACTAAAGATGAAGATAATGCAGTTGAATACATAACAAGATGTATTCAAATGCAGCATGACATTCCACTCCAAATTGTAACACTAAAAATAATAATGTATATTATCCTCAATATATCAAAGAAAAGTCTCTGTCAAAATAAAATTAAAAAGAATCTGTCAAGAAACAAGTCATCCATTTGACAAAAGAAATCTGAGCAGAGCAACAAAGAATTTAAGACTGGCACTTCAAGAACTGAAGAATGTTGAAATAAATAAATATCTTAAGAATATGTCCACCCATAAAGAATCAGATTATTCATTGTGAAAGACAATAAGAAGGTTTAGAAAACCATTTCAACCCATCCCTACTGTACACAAAGATGATGGTTCATGGGACAGAAGTATTACAGAGAAGGCAACAATATTTGCACATCTTGCAAAAGTGTTCCAGCCATATCCACCCAATCACCCAGAAGCTAAACTTAAAATAGAAACAAATTTTCAAACGCCATTACAAATGTCACTGCCTGTGAAGACATTCACAACATGAAGTAGAAAGAGTAATACAAAACTTACCATCACACTAAGCCCCCTAGGTTACGACTTAATAAAAGGTGAAGTGCTGAAGAAATTACCCAAGAAGGGTAAAGTACTAGTAACATCAATATTCAACGCTATTTTAAGAACTGGGCTTTACCCTACTTAATGGAAGGTAGCTCAGGTAATTCTTATACTAAAACCCGGTAAACGTCGTCGACAATTGACCACTTTTTTATTTTTTCTATATCTGTGTTAAACTAAAAAAAATACAGTTTCATCATTCATAACTTTCATACATTTCTTAACCCTTAAATGATAATTTTGTCTTTCAAAAATTATCAGGTATTTAGAAAAACATTCAAAACCATTGTCATGTGTAATTGCTTTTTTGACATTCTATTACTATATTTTATCACAAACTGGCAGAAAACAATTGTTATATATTGCAAAAATATTTGTATTCTAATTTTATTAATTTTATTTCATTGAATAATGGTGACAGCAAAGAGCTGTTATACTCATATACATTGTATACAATGCTTAGTATACAATGTTAAAAAAAATTTGCAAAAACATCAAAAGTGTGCAAAAACTTCGTATATTTAAAATTAATTATACCTGATGTGATATAAACATAAAATATTGCAAAATATTTTACAATAAAAATAAAATCCCTAAATCCAGTATTGAAGGTAAAACTGGTAAACAAATAAAATTCTGCAATTTTCAAAATTCGAGAAAGTTTAATGAAAATCAGATTTGTGCTGTTGTTATAAGCCAATGTATTTTCATTTAAGTAAAACATTTACTGTTGAAGGTCTTGCATTCATCTTTTTGTACTGGACATATCATTTAAAGGTATGGAAATTCATTTATTCATATTTTGACCTTACAATTTCTACTACAAAATTTAGATTGCTGTTCTTAAATATCACTAAGTAGCTTGTGATTTAGCATTTTTACAGTGCTATACTGCTATAATGAAGTCTTTTATTTTCAGGTGTCAGGAGTTTTACCTGATAGAATCTTAGTTTACAGAGAGGGGATCAGTGATGAACAATTGGGATTAATTGATGAAATAGACATTCCCAACTTCAGAAGAAGTTTCAGGGATGCAGCTGTGCAGTATCAACCAAAGCTCACAGTTGTAGTTTGTCAGAGAAAAGTTATGACAAGATTAATGGCTGTTGAAGAAACCTGTGTGAGTTTGTTTATTTTTTATCTTTTTTTTCTTTCAATGCATTATTGGAATTATTTTTTCACTAGTGTTTTTGAATTCTTCACTCTCAGTAGCATTTGATATATTGGCTCTGATTATAAGCAACTGATTAGTAAAATCTTTGAAAATAGCATTAGTAAAGGATATTGAGACAATGTGAGCATCTCAATGTCAAAACATTATTGCTCCATATTAAAATCATTAAAATTCTTACTTTGTTATGAAAGAAGGTAGAAGAACGTGCTTTCTAATAACTAGACTTGTAAAGTGAAATGATATGAAAATTCATACATTTCTTGGAATTTTTCTTCTTTTTAATTTTTTTTTAAGCATTGTGTATAGATATGTATACTTTTTAGATATGTGTACATGAAATGGAAGTACCTTCAATAGCATCAGATTTTTAAGGATGTTGAATAAAGAATGTATTGGTTCACTGCTGAATATTGTTTTTTTAATAATAATAATAAAAAAATGCATTTTTTTTCAGGGTGTAACTTTAACTTTACACAACCCCATGCCTGGTGTAGTGTTGGACCACACAATCACTAGATGTGATATGTATGATTTTTTCCTGGTTTCCCAGGATAATAAGTGTGGTACAGTTTCACCTACACATTATATAGTGGTTCACGATAGTGGTGATATGCCCCCAGAAAAGCTTCAGAGAATGACTTACAAAATGATTCATTTGTATTATAATGTGCCAGGCTTAATCAGCATTCCAACTCCTGTGCGTGTATGTATGAAAGTTCTGTTCCTCAGTTTCACTTAGTTAAGTCAGGGTTAAAAGATATTAAAAGATTTTCTGGACCCCGCCCCCACTCCCCCAAATAAAAAACAGCCTGTAGACTAATTAATATTCTTAGCCTCTTTTACAACATTCACATGCAAGCATCCTGTTCAAAATGTTTTCATTTACATTTTATAACAGAACTAAAATGTCTTGTCATACATTCTGTAGAGTTTTTATTTATGTTTAGGGCATGCTGTTATTTTGTGTTGTTTGAGAGAAATGAAAGAAATGTAAAACTTTGAGAAATTATTATACATAGAAGGTAACCAACACCCTATAGTAATTAAAAGTTATTCAAAATTACCGGAAGACAAAATAAAACTCATTTAGAAACTTCAGTTGGTTTCATCCTTTGCACTCGAGATCAATTACCTATCCTTTTGTCCTACATGTCCAATTTTATTTCTAGGATGATGGAACCAATAGTCTTATCCTTCACACCAGATTTCCTTAGTTAACTCACAAGACAACTGCAGAATGACGCAAAATTTTCTGCTGAAATTGTACAGCATCTGAGAGGTGACAACTATTAAAAATGTAATTAGATAAAATAAATTGATGCAACAATAATTTTAAATGTTTATATTGGATTTCTCTTCTTGTATATAATTTCTCTGAATCTTCATTGTTTTCTGAGATATTTTTTATATTTAAAGGTTAAAATATCTATTTAATTTTCTTTGAACTAGTCACTGTGTTACTAAATTCAGCAGAGCAATCACAGTGGTTTTCAAATCTATGTAATTGTAGGGTAATATGTAGCCTACCGGATGATGCGATTAAAAATACATTGATAGCTGAGAGTAATGTCAGTGGTAATGCTAATTATTTAGTGATTCTGAATATAATTTGGAAGATGATATTATTAGTGATGACAGTACAGTACAAAATGGAAACATTGATGATTCTTGGTCGCTGTGGTTTACTGCTGATATCAAGTTAAGAGATCCATTCAATTTAAGTTTGCGTTACAATTCAAGGAAGGCATGTCTGGAATTTTTCCAGACACTTTTACTGATAATTTTATGGAAGGTAACATGGTTGAACTAAAGGACCTGCTGTCCCTCTAAGCAGCTCAAGCTACAGTGCTATTTCATAATGGCATTCAAGAAATACCATTCCAGCAGTAGGGCACAAAACAACCCACTACCTCCAAGTTGCAGGAATGTTTCAAAATGTCATCTCTGGGATGTCATATGAGTGTAAAGGGTTAAATGTTTTATTTCATGCATAATGTGAACCAAATATGGAGGCTAACCTAATTTCCGAAAAAGACTTTTCAAATAATACTTTTTTTTTAAAAATTAGTATAAAAAGAAAATTACTTATAATATGTAGTAACTTGTTTGTTAAATTTCAACTTTAACCTTTCTCAGCCAGTGTTCTGATGAACTATCATTACATGTTTTTCACATTTGCTTAATATCCTCATAGTGGGTGCACTTTATCTAACTTTTTCACTGTATATTCTGCATGCATGTTTGCATGAGAGTGTACAGTCCCTGGCCATATTATTAGACGCACTCCAAATTTTTAACAAAATGTTAAGTTTTGAAGTCTCTCACTGCAGTACATTATATCAGGCGTTGTTGCGAATCAATAAATAAAAACAAAGCTTCTTTTTCTAATACTTAACACATTATTAGTCATTATGTACCATTGTTGTGACACCTCATTGTTGCTTAGATGCACAAATTACAAGAGTTGAGTAGAACCAGAGGTGACATGAGTAGTGTGTTATTGCATGAAGATAGTTTATTTTCCATTTATTAGTTTGTGAAATAGTTATAGCCGTGTTTATTTAAAAATTGTGAATTGTTGTATACGGAAAACTGATAGTTTTGAATAAAAATAATGGGAAAGGCAAGTGAGTTGTCTCCTCGGAATATCGCAGCAGTGAAAGCTCTTGTCGCCATGGAATTGTTTTCAAATCGTGAGATTTTTCGAATGTTGAACGTATACAAGACATCTATTCCGCGAATTAAGAAAAAATTGTCCTTGGTGAAGAATTATCGCCATGAAGGAAGAACACATGTGGATGGAAGAGACTATTTTCACCAAGTTCTGAGAGATGTTTTACGAAGATTTGCCATGAAAACCGGTTTGCTACTACTAAACAAATTAAATTTAAATTGGAATGTAGTGGAATCTGTGTATCTGAAAGGACAGTAAGGCGTACACTACTACAAATGAATTTTAAAGCTTGTAGACCAGCCCACAAACCCCGATTAACAGCTGGTATGAAAGAAAAACGTCTTGCATGGGCTAAGAACCTTAAGAATAAGGATTTGGACTTCTGGAAATCGATAAAAATTTAGTCCAGTGCTTTTTTGAATTATATATGGCTACCAAAATTAATTCTAATGTCATTTACTTGTATTTCAAGTTTGTTTAAGCAATGAATGCACTTTCGAAATTCTAGCAAACAAACATCAATTTGTGAGAAGGCGCCCTTGGTGAAAAGTATCATTCAGATTGTGTCATCCAGACTGTGAAACATCCAGTCAAGGCAATGATTTGGTCAGTGATCAGTGGCAAAGGCACGTCTGTACTTGGTTAAGGGCATCATGAAACAAGACCAGTACAAGCAAGTATTGGAGAAACGGCTGCTGCCTCAACTACAGGAATTATTCACAAATGAAGAATCATTTGTTTTTATGCAAGATGGGGCTCCATGTCATACTTCTCGAACAGTTCGATCATTTTTGATGGAGAAAAATGTTCCTGTGTAACCATGACCAGGAAATTCACCAGATATGAACCCAATAGAAAATGTTTGGGAGCTAATGAAGAGGGAAATCGCAAATTAAGAAATAACAACAAAAATTTACCTCCTTGAGAAAATAATTCAAGTCTGGTACCATCATCCAAAGTTGCAAGAAACAGTCCAGGCATGCATTAACAGCATGTCAAAAAGAATTAAAGCTCTATTGGAGCCAAAGGTGGCCTGACAAAGTATTAAAGATATACATGTGCATGGAGATTTTTTATGAAAATTGGCTTATGTATTATACTAACAGTTATATTTTTGCATATGATACCTTGTTTGTATTGTAAGTATTCAATTATTACTTATGTATTTCGTTAGAAATAAAGAAATACATTTTCCATCACAAAATCTTGATTTTTATTGAAAATTTAGGGTGCGTCTAATAATATGGCCAGGGACTGTAATTGTATTCACTATGTAATGGTTGAATTACAGTACATGTTTGCTCTTGTGTGCTCTATGAACACAGTGTAGCACATTTAGTTATCTTATAAACACATGTAAAAAGTAATTGTGGTATCAAATAGCCAGTAATATTGAATATTGTTTCAGTATGCACATCGCTTAGCCCGCCTTGTGGGTGAACATCTCCATGAAGAGCCTTCTCCAACCCTGAGTGATAAGCTGTACTTCATTTAATTGCAATAGTTCATTTGAGGTGGATGTATGCAATATAACAGGAACAGGAATGAATAAGAACAAAATTGTAAATCATACAAACAATTTTATATGCGAGACTAATGGTTTTGAAAAGAAGCAATCTCTAGTTTTCTAAATGTAATTGATTTGATAACTTTTCTTTTATCTCATTTTTAGCATTTTATATGTATCATTTGTTTATTATGAGGTAAAATATTTTATGTAAATAATGAAGTATTTTTGCAGGAAAAGGTTGTTTTTTTGAGATTTGAAATTGAAAATTTTTATATGTATGATTTTTTGGAACATAAAGAAGCTATTTACCATACATGCCAAGTTTTCTGTTTGTCTTCTGGCCCCCTAATTTATCACAGACAAGTCTAATTGTTTTTTACTTACTCATATCAGACCTCATTATCATGTAGTAAAGTGCTGAAGAAATCTCCTTGTGCTTACGTGTTAAAAAGAGTGTCTTCTTGAAAATTTTTTTGGTCTGAATTCTTTGTCATCACTAAAACCCTTCTTCAGCATTATCATTTTTGTCAGTGTCAACACATATAACTTAATTTAAACATTAATACGTTTATTATTTGTTTCCACAAAACTTTATTAATTATATTGTTACCTATCATTTTTATCATCAACCCTTTTCCATTTGCTTGGCTATTGAATCCTCTAGTTTGCTTTAGTAGGAGACATGAATGACACACATAACAGAATTTTATCTGTAACTGAAAGCACAGAAACAACCTACCTACTTGGCAAAACAATAATATAGCATCTCCATATTGAACTTTAAAGCTACTGACAATCACACTTGTGCTTTGCTAAATGTTGGACAATTTTATTACTGACAAATAGTACCACAGTCTCGAAATTATACAATATAACAACATGACGAAAATCAGTTGATTACTATCAAGGCAGCCAATTGGCAGAATTAGAGATTATTTTCTGTCTGTTTCCAACAGAGCAGATTTTGCCCTCTTTGAATCCTACAAGTTTTCAAAAATGAAAAACAATGTAATTTTTTTCCTTTTCAAAACCAACAAAGTTTTGTATGTTTATAGAGGGCTAACATGAGAATCTGATGCCCTTGCATCATCCAATCTTCCTCTCAATTTGAATAAAAATTGGATTTTGCTCCTTTTGAAATCAATTGCCTCATTTGAAATTCTTTAGAATTATGATTTACATAGAATTATATAAATTTAATAGAATACTTCTCATGTTTTGTATACTAGATTTTATTAATCATCTGTTGTTTGTAATTAATTTCAAATATTTAAGGTATCAATTATGTTCTTAAAATGGTTTACTTATTATGAAATTTAAACATTGTCATTTACAATTGAAGTATGAATATTTTTGTGGCTCACAACATATATTGTTGATTTCAGGAGTAGGTGAAAAATAATTTTTCCACTTAAACCCGAATCAGTTGGGAGTTCATTAAATATTTTTAAAACTTTTAACAAGAAGATTTAACATTTGTTATATATCCCTTTGGTCAGGCGCTTGCTGCCATTACTGGCCAGGATTCCCAGATGGTTACCCATCTGGGAATTTATGGCGACTCAAATTGCTTAACTTTCATTACTTCACAGAGCATAGGCAATTTGTCTAATGATGCTGGCGATTTTCAAATGGGAATAATTTTATGTTAATTGCCTGCTTATATTTCATGTTTTCCTACATATTTTCTTCACCATTTCATTAGTGTTGTCTTTTAGTTTTATAGATATTTAAGAAATGCATTCATGTTGATGAAATGAGAACTTAAAACTAATCGATTTGTTACACTAGAATTATTGAGTGATTGATTTAATATGAGTTTCTGCAATGGCTTGCTCTGTTGAAGAAATATGTATTCTCTTTTCCCGAGAGAAGAAGGTTTCTTTAACCTTCCAGCGTGCACACGTAAAATTTACACCCCTGCATTGGTGTCATAAACTTTACATTATTCAATGTCTCTTGAATAAAAAAAGTAATTATAGAACAATGCAAATTTATGTTGCATTATAATATCTAAGAATGCTATTTACTACCAAAAAACATATATGTTGATAAACTTTTGTATTTAATATCAGATAGCTCTTGTTCCAATCCAGTATTGTGCTGATGCTCATCTCTGTTTTCAATACTCAAGTCACTCTTTGTATTCATGATCTTCCTCCCAATCTGACAATATTCACAATATTCTGAATTTCATTTGCATGAATCCTTCCTCCAGACATTTTATACAAAATTTTGATAAGGCCAAATTACTGTATAATACAATTTTAGAACAACAGCAGGCATGCAATACAACATTTATGACACTATACTCGTATCCCGAATAGAGCATTACAAAAGCTGAAAATATCATGCAAACTAATCAGTGGCTGCAAGAATACATCACTAAAGATATCTTCAAGGAATACCAAGAATGCAGAAGTCTTTTCCAACAATGAGTTGTCAGCAAATCAAGAAAATCTGCTATTGTCCTAAAATTGATGACAGAGTGCCCACTGGAAGGAAATTCAACAAGATGTTTCTCAAGAACGAAATCTCATATCTTAAGAATGAAAAACAACAATGGCTACTCTTTGTGTGATTTTGTGAGTGTAATCACTTGTTTTAAACAATATCATAAGTGCTTATGTTGTGGTCAATAAAAACAGTTTGCATATTCTCATTTGTTGTTTCCCTCCAAACTTCCCTTTTTGTTACCTTGTCTGAAATTTATTTCTTTTTCATATTTTTTTTTAAAATCATTAATGTACCTTATTGGGGTCTTGGTAAAGACTTCTTTCAAGTGTTTATTTTTATTCTTATAGAGATATTCTGCACCGAAACTATTGGCAAATTAATGTTTGGTACTGAGGTTTCATTAACAAGAAGGCAAAATGTGCAGAATACATGTTTTGTTAAGTAAATACAGAACAAACAGTATTGGGCCAAATATGAAAATCTTTAATTTTACGTTTCTTTTTTCTTCATTTGCTACTCTTTTTCTCTACCTGCCTTTTCATCTTTATCGTTACCTTTATCTTCACCCTCTTCTCTTTTCTTCTTTGGTTTCTCCTTCTCAGTTTCCCAGATATTAACATCACATGATAATTGCAGGTGTTGCTATAGAAGGTAGTGTTTCATGCATAAATATCTAGGGAGTTGTGTCAAGCAGGGTGACAGCTATTTAAAGACCTCAGCTAAATTTATTATACTGATATATTCAGTTTTTGCAGTACTGCATTTATTGGTTTGCGTGCCTTTAGCTTTGTTCTTCTACAGTTCTTGATTTATTATGTAGTGGAATGAAATCATGGTGTATATCATGATAATTCTATTGGATTATTGTTCTATAATAATAATGATAATAACAATGATGACGAAGATGATGATGATAATATTATTAAAACAATGCATGATATCAATTCTGTTAGCAGCGACATAAAATTTAACACTATTAGTACATTCTATGTTATAACTTGAAGTGAAGAGGAGGCAGGTTTTGACCAGTTGTTCCTTTTTTTCCTTCGATTTGTACATGTAGTCCTAGTGCAGCACTTTTTGTCAGGCATTCTCATTCCACGTCACAAGATGCGATGTGCCAGTTATATTTTCTTTGCTTCAGCTCTAAACAGTTATCATGAAACAGAAACTCAAATTTGATAAGAAATTCTTAGTTATTTATATTTTTTAAGGGAAATATTGTTGTGATTTTAATATTTCTTTACACTGTAGAGGATGTTGTTAGGCAGGAAAGCTTTCAATTTACTTTTAAATGTATGAATTGTGTTTATGTCTTTACTATCTTTGCCTAGTTGTTTGTAAAGTGTGATGCCCTCTATTAGGGGACTTATTTGATAAAGTGTAGTTTCAGAGTGGGGAACATGTAGGTTATCCTTTTGACGAGTGTTGTAGTTGTGTACATCAGAATTTAAAGTAAAAGTATCTTTGTTTTCCATGAGAATGTTCTTTATGAATACCACTATTTCAAATATATGCATGCATGGTAGAGGAAGAATACTTAGTTTATTGAACAAGTGTTCGCAAGACTCCAGCTTATGAGTGCTGGTCATTGTTCACAATATTCCTTTTTGGATAATAAATTTACAAGTGCTTTCACGGGCATTTCCCTAGAATATTATTCCATATATTTAGGTGTGAGTGCACATTTGCAATAAACATTGTTTGAAGTGTCTCAATGTTGGGGCTGGACCGGAAGGTGTATAGATCATAGCAAGATTTGGTAAGCTTCTTGTTAAGACTTGAAATGTGAGCATTCCATTTTAGGTTTTTTTGAATTGTTGGACCGAGGAAGGTAGTTTCATGAGATATCACTACAGGATTATTGTTTCTGAGCAAATGCTGTGAGAGTTTTTCTTTAGATCGGGGATTTATGGAATTTAGAGATACTGTCTTGCTGGTGTTTATGATGAGTTTGTTGTCTTGAAACCAATTTACTAGTGCTTGCAAAGTTTTGTGAGTTTCTTTTTCTAATAATTGTTGTGTTTTTGCTTCGATGATTAAGTTTGTGTCTTCTGCAAACAAAATTATTTTGTTATTCCTTAAAGCCAAAGGCATGTCATTTATGTATATAAGGAATAGTATTGGCCCAAGGATAGATCCTTGCGGGACTCTACAATTTATCATATGAAACCAGGAGTAGTATGAGGAAATTTTGTTTTCTTTAGTGTGCTGGTGGACAACTATTTGGCTACGGTTTGATAAATATGATTTGATCCATTGGTCTGCAATGCCATGAATCCCTAGCATTTCTAGTTTTCTTAAAAGTATGTGATGGTCAATAATATGAAAGGCTTTTGACAAATCTAAGAAAAGGCCAATGGGAATTTCCTTCTGATTTAGTGCAACAAGTATGTCTTTTAAAAAGGAGAGGATGGCTGTGTCTGTGGATCTATTACTCCTGCAGTCATGTTGTGCATTTGTAAGGACACTATTTGCATTGAGAAACTCTTTGAGTCTATCATTGAAAAACCTTTCCAGAATTTTTGAAAATCCTGATAACAGAGATAGGTCTGTAGTTCATTGGAACATAACTATTGCCCTTTTTAAACATTGGTGTAATTTTTGCTCTTCTGAATATATCTAGGATTATGCCTGATTTTAGAGAGTAATTGCAGATATGAGAGAGTGGTTGCACTATACATAGAGCACTGGGTTTAGTAAGAAAATCTGGAATGTTGTCCAGGCCTGCTGAGAATTGATTCTCCATTTGTCCAATGATTTTAAAAATTTCAGAGGGGGTGGTTTCATATAAAAATATGGAATTTACAATTTGTGTAACATTAGTGTTTGGTTTGTGTGTTTTATTGTTTAGAGAGTGTTGAGAGATTAACTTATTACTAATTTATGAAAAGTGTACATCAGCTATTTCTTGGGGGTCTTGTACAATTTGTTTTTTGTAGTAGAGCTCTATATTTTTTCTGTTATTATTAGTTGGTGCTGTAGTCTTTTTAATAATGTCCCACATAGCTTTTGTTTTATTACGTGCATTTGCAATGTACTATTCATTTGTCATAATTTTTGCTTGTTTGATTACTTTTTGTTGGATCAAATTATACGTTTTGTAATATGAAATGAAGTTTGAGTCACATTTGTTAGTATTTTAAACATGTTGCGTTTTCTTTCACATGACACTTTGATGCCTGTGGTAATCCACAATTTAGTTTTCTTATTTTCAATCTTTTTGAGTTTTTGAGAAAAAATGGCATTGAAATCTCTTAAGTATATATTTATGAATGAATTAAACTTATCATTAGTATTAGTTGCATTAAATACTTCATTCCAGTTTTTGAATCTGAGTAAGTTTTGAAATTTTCTTATGTTTCCTTGGGAATAGTAATGGATTTGTTTTTAGATGTCTGTTCCTCGTTTTTTTTTTTCTGTTTGAAGTGTTAGAATCTTGGCAGTGTGGTCACTGAAACCTGTAGTAAATGTAGCAACAGAAAAACAATGGTTATTTGCATCTATTATTATTTGACCTATAGCAGTGCTACTATTTTTGGATATTCGGGATGGTGTATTTATAGTTATTTGTAAATTGTATGATTTTAGTACATCTTTAAATAGATTTTCATTACTAGATTGTGTGAGGAAATTAGTACTGAAGTCACCGCAAAGAATAATTTTATACTGTCTGCATTTTGAAGTTTTGTTAGAATAACTTCTAGATTTTGTAAAAAAAATTTTCAAATTCCTAGTAGGGCTGCAATATATGCATAAGACCAATGTTTTTATTGTTGTTAAGTCACTGATGAATATTTCAAAGTCTTTCTCTTTTACAAGACGAGTATGACTGGTGTAGGGTACAAAACTAATAGTATCTTTAATAAAAATGCATGTCCCACCATATGCATGATGTGTGTTGTTAATTTTTCTACATGAACTGCTGGCTATATATACATACATATATATATATATATATATATAGTGTTCTGTGAAGCACAATACTGAAATGAGTTTCTCCTGAAATAATATTTCTATATCAGTGAGTTTATTTTTCAGTCACTGTACATTTTGGTGAAGAATGTGAAAATAGTTCTTAATGTTGTGTATTGTCTGCTTTTGTGCCAATGTTTGATGCTACCGGTTATACACAGGAGTGGGTTTTTGGTTGCAATGGAAGTTATGTGTACGGATGGGACGGGGAGTAGCAAATGTGGAAGTAGGTAAAGGGGCTGAAGAGGAGAAAGAAGGTGAGGAGGTGGTTGGAAGAAGTGGAGTGAGCAGGAGAGGTGTGGGAGTAGGAACTTGCATAGGTAAAAGAGGACTGGGGGGGAGGTGAGGGATGTGGAGTGGGCAGGAGAGGTGTGGGAGTAGGAGAAGGAACTGGTGAGGGTAAGAGAGGACTGGATGCTGGTGGAAGATGTGGAGTGTGTGAGAGGTGTTGTGGATGGAGAGGAGGAAGAATGGATGAAAGATGGATGTGGAGGGCAGGGGTTCCCAGTAGGTGCGAGATGAGCATGGCTCCTAGTTTTTGTTTACCTATCTGGTTCCTGTGGAGACCATGCTGAGTTAAATGTTTTCTTGAGAGGTTGTCAGGATCAACAAGTGTGATAGGTGTCCCTATCAAGTGCTGTCTTATATGATGGTTTGCAATCTTAATTTCATGGTTTATAGGAATGTTGTTGTGCCAGGGGGGGCAGAGTGGTCATGATTACATTTGTGTGTTTGGCAGTCTCTTGTATTTTTGTTAACTGTTCCTCTGCATTAAAGTGACTGCCAGAGTTAATGTCGTTCAAGCATAGATATTTTCTTTGGAAATATCTATCTTGGAAAAATCATTCTTTTGAACAATTCACTTACCATAGCAACCTGGCTTTTGTTTTCTATTTTTACATCAGATATTTTCTTTGTACACTACTTACTAAACAAACTAGTTTACAGGGAAAAGGATCCATATGATATTTCCAAAATGAACACACATCACTTTGTATACAGAATATCAAAAGACTCCAAAAATGGGAATTAAAAAAAAAATTTAAACATTTTTTTCTAAAAATAACTACTCCAAATTTTTTTATTAAATTTCCTGTCTATGTATGAAAGGACTTCACCGCTTCGGCCACCAACAGGATCTGATGTGCGGATACTGCCGTAACCAGACTCATGACGACAAGCACATCATACTTGAGTGCGGAACCTGGCGAACCGAAAGAAAAGCAGTGGAGCACCAGGTAGGTGCCCAATTAACCAGCAAGCAATTTGTTAACACAAATGTTGGAAAATGAAAAAAGGGGTCAAAAATTGAAGAATACACAAAAATTGTCATGTCAAAAAAAGGAGAAGGCGAAAATAACAAAAGAAAAAGAACATAACAAACTGGTGGAAGAGCTGCAGCTAAGATCGACCTCTGTGAAGCAATACCTAACAGCGGTACCGCAGAGGGAGGAAGGTTTGGACAAGGGTGACGCAACACTATTTACACTTATTTTTTATTTTAATTATTTATTTTAATTTTTATTATGATATGGAAGTATAATTACTTCCACATCAGTAATGGATATGTGGTTACAAACTGGTACATAAAACACTACTGTTGCACACAGATATCCGTTGTGTATCTCATGGAAAATGTGTTAGCAATTTTAAAAGACAATAAGAATTTTCTTCTCTAAAAATGCCCTTCAAATGGTATACCTAGCAAATATTTTTACCTATTTCGATGAGCTCAACACATCGCTGCAAGGCACAAATATCAATATTTTCGAGGTACAAAGTAAAATTCATGCTAATCTTTTAAAATTGAACTTTTACACAGATAGCATTTTGAAAGAAAATATTGAATGCTTTCCTCTAATAACGCTAATCTCTATGAAAATATAAAAAAAAAATTGGTCCAACATTTATCGGATCTGCAAAAAAACGTGGATTCAAAATCTTTCCAGGACTGTGATATTTCCGAAATTCCAATAAAAGAAGGCGAACAACAAATTCATATGTTAATTGGCACCCAAGTGAAATTAAAATTTAATCAAATTGATATTATGCATCTTTGTATTGACATAAGAAATAAATATCCTAAAATTTCCGTAATTCCAAAATTATTTTAAATTATAACAATTTAATTTAAAGTAAAATTATTTTAATGAGTTTGCTGTGTTCGTTTTGTCTAAAAGATTAAGATAGATGTATTATAGCTCTTATGTTTTAATTTGAGGAAAGTTTTATTGTAGAATACCATTAGGGATTCGAGAAACTTTATTGAAAATTATTTGAAGCATTTCTACCCACAAATACAATCATTACATGTATAAATAAACCGTGCGTCTTTATACGTGATTTTGAAATTTGTAACTCTTAAACATTTTTTTTTCGGGTGCCAACGGTGGCAGGATTTACGACTCTAGCGAGATAGCTAGATCGAATTCAGCCGCTGTTTGGAGGAGAATTCTAGAGGTTCGATCGGTAGTTTTCCACGATTTCTCCGATCAATTCCAAGTAAATGCCCGAGCTGTACCCTGACAAAAGGGCTATGCGATATTGTCCTTTCTTCGCCTGTTACACACACTCACTTACACTCACCTGCACTACACTTCTTAACATGTCGGGAACTTATATTAGTCGCGGATGGAAGGGTACTCTACTGCTGGGAGATAACTGGAAGGGGAAATACCCGCAAAGATGGTGTGTAGACCGGCGCCGGATCTCACTATCCATCATGGAAAGAAAACCGCCAGCTCCTCCTATAAAAACATGCACTACACATGCACAGAATAATAACCTTAGCAGTTGACGCACCCGGAAACTCGAAATGATCCAATCAATTATTTTTTTCGAGGTATTCCTTCTATTTCAATTTTAGGGGTAATTTTTTTCCTTAACGAAATCTGCTCTTCAAAGACATCTTGAAATAATACCAAGAATAATGTTTTAAAATGAATTTTCGCGTAATTTTGAGGAAAAATAGGAAATTTTTAAATAATTATTTCTCAAATAAAGCCAATTTTTGGGGGTTTCTGTCAAATATAGTAATAGACGATAGAGAAAACGGTGCTGATTGCAATTTCGTGGAACTCTTTTTATCTTCCGAAATTGCAAAAAATTAACATAGTAAGAGTTATATATTCATAATATCTGTGACTTATTAAAGAAATTTGTTAAAAAAATCAGATTGTTAAATAAGATCATGTTTAATTTCTTGAAAAAATATCGTAGTTTTTTGGTAGTTTGTGCTTCAAATAAGTGCTATTTGTATTTTTTCCTCAAAACGACACCGAATTTATTCTTTGATTTTCTTCTCGGATAGAAAAAATGTGATTGAAAATGGCACTTGTCTCATTTTCGCCGATCTCTGCATATAAAAAATCAAAAATTTAATTTCAAAAATTCCAAACAAAAAAACAACATTGAAAAATTACAATGTTGATGTTAGATACTTTTCTTCGTAATGGAATCTGTTCTCTGAATTTTAAAAGATCCACATTCAAATGTTGAACTTTTGTTACGTATACAGAAGGTTGTCTACATCTTTGTGACTTGTGCAGTCGAGGTAACGTGACTGACGTTTAAACTTTAATATCCTGCCATCGAATTGAATTCGGAGAGGAAAAATTGCCTGTTGGAAATACTTTTGCAGGTTCATGTCATATAATATTCCATAGCAGCTACAAAGAACACAAGAATGCATATATTGATGTAGCACCACTAGTTTGAGTTAATTGTATTCCGGAAACATTCATTGCGAAACTGCACCTTTTCACGAGACTGTCTCCAAAAATTAATGGTGAAATTTTCACATACAACAATGGATCTTTTGAGTGATTTCTATTATTTAGAGCTATTGATAGTTTCGGAGAAAGTCAAATAGTCTGTGTAGTGTCATAAAATTTACCTTTATTTCTCTCAAGGGTAGGGATATAGGTCCCACGGAAAAAAGAAAAAAATGCCTGCAATAAAGTTAGCATTTTATTATTGTAAGTTTCCTTTATTGAAAATTTATTATTGATGGTACAAGTTTAATATTTACTTGAAGTTTTTCACAAAACGAACAGAAATACGATCTTCAGAACGTCGTGTTAGCAACGTGATCTGTTAGTTTCTGGCTGATATTTTCTTCCATCTAGCCACAAAGCATGACTCCCCATCTAGAAAATAGATAACAAATTAATTAAATATAAACTGCAATAATTTTATTATTTATTTATTTATTTATTTATTTATTTATTTATTTATTTATTTATTTATTTATTTATTTATTTAATGCCAAAACATTTAAAAAAATATGTGCGACGCACTACGGGCAACCTGTTATCGTTTCCTCGATCTCCTAAGTCCGTACCCTCTATTTATACTATGTCAAGTTGGGTTTGTGGTAAGAATAGAATCGCGTTTTTATCCAAAATTGAAAACAGGAAATATTCACATCCGTGTAATAAAATATATTTGCAAATCCGGTATAGAAAATTAATTGAGTATCTCCCGTGAGAACATGCACTACGATTAGTTGATGTTATTAATCATGAAATAATTATTTTCTAATTAACAGTTCACTGAGCTCACGAAAACGTATGTAGTTATCTTTCCGGAAGCAAAACGAGGGGTCATCATCAGTATTCTTTCAGAAGATCAAGATAAACGATGAAAGATTGATGTGACGGTCATTGAACCAGACGCGAAGTACAATAGTTTATTTAAAATTATACAGTGGTACCAATGGTAACTAATGCATTAATATTATTTCAAAATCATTAATTTCGTCTTTGATGGTCAGGACATAAACACTTATGCAGCAGAAAAGATTGACATACACATTTGTGAATAAATTTTAATTATTGAGTATCATTTGCGCAATATGTTATAAAATAATGAGCAAGTTTCTTTGTTGGTGCTGATGTTGGCACATGAATACAATTTCTGACTCGGGTGCTATTGTTGACATCTGTATTGGATGAAAATATGTTCCCAAGCTTGAGTGAGTCAGTTGTTTTTTTTCCTTCTAATTTGCAAATGAAGAGACAATGCAAAATATTTTATTATTAAATTGAGCGACTGACAGCGCACGATATTATTATTCAACTCCATCGCAAGCAGTCCAACTCACGTGGTGGCGAGAGCGAAGATGCCGATCACTGAAAAGGGAGCGGCAGCTGCTGAAGCGCCTGAATCCATCAAGTTTTGGTCCAGGAACACGTCTTCCACAGCCTGGCGAAAACCTGACGAATTGAAGGAATCTTCCGGGTGGTTTCCCCCATCTCGCAGCTGTTCTTCTGAATGGTTGACTGCACCGTCCCAGGTCGGCACGATAGTAGGCGTACCGGCTTCCACGCAGCCCGCGGTGGAGTTGCCGACCTCCTCGCAGGAGACGGTCCCGTTGAGAGTTGCGTTGAATGGTATGCCGTCGTTCCCGTCAAGAGTTGCGTTGAATGGTATGCCGTCGTTCCAGTTGAGAGTTACGTTGAATGGTATGCCGTCGTTCCCGTTGAGAGTTGCGTTGAATGGTATGCCGTCGTTCCCGTCGAGAATTGCGTTGAATGGTATGCCGTCGTTCCCGTTGAAAGTTGCGTTAGTGTCGTTGAATGGCATGGCGTCGGTTCCGTTGAGGGTGCCGTTGGTGGCGTTGAGTGGAATGCCATCGATCCCGTTGAGAGTGGCGTTGGTGTCGTCGAATGGCATGGCGTCCTTGCCGTGTTGCTCCCTGGGCAAGTAGAGGCTCAGCAGCAGAGAGCAGAGCACCACGGTGCAAGCCGCGGACAGAATCCAGCGCACGCGTTCCGTGCGGGGGATGCAGTACATGGACGGCTGCATGGCTGCGGGCTGGCTGGGCGGTGGGCGTGTGGCTCCACGAGGAAGGCTGCTCGGCGGCGTGCGAGCTTCTCTGGCGCTGGCGCAGACTGACTCGGCCGGAAGCTCCCGCGCGAAGCACCGAACGATGGGTCACGTGACCCTCGCGAAGCAGGGGCGGACGGCGTCAGCGGGGGCGGGGGGCGGATGGAGGTTCGCGGGGATTGGTGAGAATGGGTGTGACGTAGTGGACGTTCTTCAGTGCCTTATTTGGTTATGTACTCGCGGTCTCAGGCAAGACCTTAAAGTGAGTACTATATTATATTTCGCCGCTGCGGCACTGAACGTCCGCAGAGTATTCCATTGTGTGGGGCCTAATATTAGCCGTGACGTTCCCTTGGAGGAATTTGGTTTCACATATCGACACAATTGAAGAGAGGAAGATTCAGGAAATATTACACCGTTCGACAATTACAATGGAACCCCTATTCCATAACAAATGCGAATAGTGACTTGCAAAGACCAGGAAGTGATAGATAGAACTATTTCGTCAAAATGATTTTCAAAATATAGCAGGAATTAAAGAGCGTGACAAAGAGAGCGACGTATCTGTATTTCCATTGTTTTCTATCATTACCTATTCAAATGGTCTAAAGACGCTTTTACGTCATGTTGCGGAATATTGTGTTCAAAAATTGCGTTTCTTGTAAGATAGAGCTACTTGCAGCGCGTCAACTGTTGTTCCTAATCGTTTCCTTCACCCATCATTAGGGTCTGCTTCTGGACTGATTCCCCGCTTCCATGTTGCCCATCGTCCATCAATCAGAAAGCTTCCGACAGAAGTGTAAACAGGCGAACGGACATTAGTCAAGGGCCAAGTAGCTCTGGTGCGAAATTGACGGTAATAAAATGAATAGTTTTTATCAGTGCGATGTTCAATGGACTGAAGTGGGTGACCTTTGCTGCATGTTGTCCTCATGTGACATCAAAGTAGATAAGCCTTGTTCCTGTATGTACTATTACTTCATCTAACACTTGTGTAGGCAGGGGCCATATTTTGTGGGTCCTTGATACCGAAAAACAGACTGACGGCGAAACGTTCGGCTGCGGTCAACACTAGGGATTCCCTGAGAGACCAACTTAGATTCAACTGAGATTTTCTCGAAAATTGTTATTCCCTGATTGATCTGAACGACTCGACGCCTGCGAGTTCGAAAGGAATATTTTGATTTTTAGAAGTACTTTACATGAAGCTTCATCACGTTTTTTCTCAAAAATGGCTCCAAATATATTAATTCAACTTCTCCCTTGGATAGCCTGAGGGATGTTTGGAAAAAAATACGCAGAACATAATTTTATTGAAATCTCTGAATTTTCGAAAATTGCAAAATTACAATTTTTGGCGTCTACCTACAACTATAACATTGAAGATGAATATTTTTATCTTAGTGAAAGCTGTTCCTTAATGACATATCTTTAAGTAAAGTCATGTAAATTTCTTCGAAAATATGACTAGCTTAAGCGTGATTTTTGGGTGAAATATAGACAGTGTTAACACAATTTCGGAAAAACCAGCGCCAATTTTTTAAACTGTCCTCTCTCGAATGAAGCAAGGGTCGATTAAAATGGCTCATGTTAAATTTATTTGCAATTTCTGAATTTTCGAAAATTGTCAAAGTTCAAAGTAATGCGAGAAAGGATGTGCTGGTATGTCACCGCTAGTTTTTATTGGTAGTTCGGTACATTTGCGGTGAGTCGACCATTTGGTCGTTTTTCGCTTCCTGTTGTCAAAGCAGGCCTAATATGCACTACACATGCCGGGATACCGGTCGGAAGCTTAGAGCTTGTCCCGGCTGGGGTGGCGCCGCGCCGGTGGGAGATACCTGGTTGTGGAAACCCCCGCTAGACAATGGTAGGTCGGAGCCGGATTTCGCCATCCAGCAGGGGGAGATCACTGCCACCTCCGAAGGGGGGAAACATACACTACACTTACAGAGCTAATGTTTAGCAGATGGCGTGCCCGGAATTACTAACAACAACACGACTAACCAACCATCAAAGTAGGCTTCTTTTGAAAGCCACCCCCGGCGCGAGCACACTCCATGAAGGCGTGTCATGAAACGCCTGGGATCTCCCTCTCTCCGCCAGAGAGCGGTTCAGTGAGTAGGGTGCGAACATGTTAGCGCTCGCCAAAAAACCCGCCCGGTGAGCCGAAGCATCGGCCATGCGGTGAAGCTCTTACTCAGCCCTTGTATTGAGAGGCGTCCATCTTACCCCGGAGAATATGCTGGAAGGGGTGGCTATTAGCTCGACTGCATTCTTGGTACCTCTGTAATATGTTTTGATTTTTTTTCTTTTGAAGGAAACCTCGCAGTACGGGGACGATTTTCAGTTATTACTCCGAATTACGGTTTCCTGATATTTCTTGCCTTTCTAGTGACTCCAAAGGATGATTACTGAAGAACTCGAGAAGTGGCGTGAAAAACTAAACAATCTAAACCCCTCAGAAGTTCAACGTAGTTCTGTTAAAAGCTTTCAAGACAAGGTCAGATCACTAGAAATAAAATTGCATGGATCTGCTATTCGGATGGTTGAGCAATTTTAAATACCTAGGGGTACTTTTCTACCCTATTAAATTTTCGCGAGCTAGCTAGGTATCATGACGGTATCAGAGGGGGCAAATAACACAATTATCAAACTTAAAAATATAACTGGTAAGTGCCACCGGGAGAGGTGGCTCAGGGCATCAACTGATGCGACTGCAGTGCGTCTGACCGGAAGGTCCTAGCTTCCAGTCCTCACAGTGGCAGGATTTTCGACTCTGGCTATATAGTTCTGTCATGTTCTGTCGCTGTCTAGAGGAGAATTCCAGTTGCTCTGGTCGGTAGTTTACTGTGGTTTCTCCAATCAATACCAGGCGAATGCCGGAGCTGTACCATAACAAACGGACCTCGTGCAATCTTTCCTTTCCATTCCTTGTTCTATCCTGATCCTTACATACAGACACTTACACTTACATGCATTACTCTACCACACATGCTGGGAGCTTAGAGCTTGTTCCGGCCGGAGCGGTGGCCCGCAGCTGGAGCAGTGCCCCCGAACGGGAAATCCCATGTAGCCGACTGTAGGTCCGCGCCGTATCTCACCATCCAACGGGGGAAATCATTGCCACTTGCTGCAGTGAAGATGCATTAAACGTACGGTACTAATGACCTTAGTAGTTGACGCGCCCGGAATCACTAATCAACCAACAGACCTAAAATTCGAGAGGATCCATCTGGATATATCGGAGCTTGGTCCAGACATATGAACATATAGTTTTGAACAGTCAAACATATAGGAATATTGCAATGCCACTAATAATATTTATAATTTAATACACAGGAATTATTTTTTACGATTGTCGTTTTGATTGTCGAAAAGGAAAAAAGAACCCCTGTTATTAAATGATTAATATAGTTTTTTAGTGTCCTTCAAAGTTCAAAGTTGCGGCTGAGAACTGAGAATTGGTCAGGGAATATCAAACGCGCTCGTGGGAGATACCTGGTTGGGGAAACCTTCGCTAGCCAATGGTAGGTCGGAGTCGGATTTCGCCATCCAGCGGGGGAAGAAGGGGTCTGGCCATTCTTTCTGGGATAAACTTTTTAGCACGACTTTTGGAGAAGTGATCGTGGGAGTGTAAGAGCATGCGAAAGAGGGGATCTGGGAACCTATGGGGGTTTAAATATCGTGTAATTGATTGGGGCCGAAGGGAGGAGTTCGGAGGAATATTTATATTTTTATGTAATATGAGAATGATAAATCAAGAGTATCAATTTTATTATTTTAACTATTATTTACTAAGAGTGGTGTTTTGAATATTTGTGGCGTTAATGTGGCGTTATCCACTGCAAAATCTCCTTAAACTCATTGTACTAAATCATTTCCTAGGTAAGGAATTGCTGATAATATATAAGTAATAACGGTGGCTCCTCAGAATGATATTTGTCCTCACGTTGCTATGTTGCCTTCTCAACGTCGCTGATCTCGAGCTTTTTTAAATTTTGTTTATATTTATGTAACTTGAAAATTTACTCATTCTTCTACTATTTATAGTTGGGATTTATGATGGGATTATCAAGAAAACGTGCGCAGATGATCTTCTCACCCACACATCACATACAGTTTTTACTGTTTTTTGACTAAAAAAAAATCCAAATCCAAATGGTAATACATAACCTATAAAAGCAGCAGCTATTACTAAATCTTCCTAATAATACTATTCATAATATAATAATACGATAATAAGTGGGTTTATGGATTCATCTAATAGATATAATAACCGTAATGATGGTAATGCAATGAAAATTAATGTAAATGCGTGTACTGTTTTTGACTAAAAAAATCCAAATCCAAATGGTAATACATAACCTATAAAAGCAGCAGCTATTACTGAAAATAAGATGAGAGTGAATGTGTGCATGCATAGGTGCGCGCCGTCGTGCCCTGTCCTACTCCATTGCCCCAGCGACTGCCGAGTTCTTCTAGAAAACGGGGACATTATGATTTAATTTCGGCAAAACATAGACGGAAATCTCTTCAGTTACATGGTTCATGCTCCAAGGAGTATATACCTTAGAAGGTAAATCCTGGTACTAATAATGCGTTTGTACACATTAGGTCTTCCTCGGCAGTTAATGTCAAAAGGAATACGCCGCCCCAATTACGTCGGGATGAAAATCCGATAATCATTGCGTTAGCATGGCTTTGCTGCAGAGCATAGGTTCTGCGAACTGCCTTACTGGACATGAAATTCCCGATTTTGACTGAGAAAGGGCGGTAATATAGATAGAATAGGGAATATATTCTATTTTATATAAGCCAAGGTAAAGGTCTTAAGGGTTAAGGTAAAGAGACTTATATTTGCAAAGGTCCAGTCTCTTGAAATAAATACTAAGGTACGGATTTAAAAATAATATAAGTAAATTCCCTGAACGTCATGCGTTTAGCGTCATGGATCCCCCATGGCGTCCGGACCTAGAAGA